CTGTCTTCTCTTCTCCGAATGCATAGCAACAACACCACAGCAGCAACCCAACAGCAGGCAACAGGCAGCAGCAGCAGAAGACTCAACGCAGGCAATCGAGCCAGCTACTCGATCTCTCTCCCTTTTTCTTCCTTCCTTCTTGCAAGTCTTCTCTTCTCTCGCTCTCTCACATGCACGACACAAATGACAGAGTTGAACACACAGACCGGTTCATTTGTTATTTGTTTTCTATCGTTGATTTTAAATTTAAAGAATGTCATTGCCTTGAGAAGGCAAAAAGGCAGGCCTGGTATCATCATTATGAAAAGCTTTAATTATTATTATTTTTTTATATAGGATTATGTGTTTATGGTNAAAAGAAAAACCTCGGTACCGTACCTCTAAATTTTATAATTTTTGTGAGTTTTGGTACTAATTTTTGAGTTCATTTTTTGGTCAAATTATCACTTTTGTGATAATTTTGCAATCAATCCTAAGATCCATCCTAATATTTTAATGATTGATTGTAAGATACATAAAAATTATAAATGATTCTAAAAAATTGTATTAAAAAAATAGAACATTTGTAACTAAATTATACCTACATTTCTTTATATAATATAAAATATAAATTTTAAATTTTAATTAAATTATTAATAAATAAAATATCAATTCATATTTGGTTAATCAGAATTCGATTTATTGCTGGCCATCACGTTGATGGGATCAAAGATCATGACGTCACAACATTTGATCCAGTATGATCAAATTTCCAATCCGACGGTCCAGGACGGACGTTTCACAGCACCCAAAATTATGAGCAGATCACTCAAGTGGGTCCCACTCTCCCAAGATCTAGGATGACAACCGTCTTGCTGAGTCGTGTTTGGATTTTGCTAGTTAAATTTGCGTTGAATATTAATTAATTTTAATCTAATTTATTTAGTTATTTGTATTGGATATTTGGAACACCGACCCGACTTGTTTATTATATCGTTGTATTAGTCAGTGTCTTGTGAGATTAATGATATTTATCTCCCTAGTCACCTTGTTTTATACTTTTAATGAAAAAATTATCTATTAACACAATACAAATTTAGAGAATTTTGATCTTTTTTAAACCACTCTATTTTGTAAACGAGTTGACCTGATACGACACGATTAATAAATGAATCGAGTTTGAGTAGAATCAACCAAAAGAAATATATGACACGAATCTGATATAACACGATTTATTAGACACAAATTAATAAACGAATTGGGTATGAATAATATATTTTTTGATATGAACTCAATAAAATTCGATACAAACCAGTCTCACCCGATACGATTAATAGCCCTATTGTTTTCGTGTTGAATTTGAAAATTTCCTCTATCGAAAATTATCATTGAAGAATAGAAAGTATCATCATCGTATATTTTAGAAGGTTACATGGACTAAATTCACTTAATCCGCTCTTATCCTCTTAAATATGTGAACAAATGAATATTTATTTCATTTTTACCTCAAGAGATTCTGCTTATTTTCGTATTTGTACATAACACGGGCGTGACTACGAACACAATTAGAATTGATACAACATTAATGAAATTAGACATTTGTTTTAATGGACAAACTAGTCAATAATCTAGTATTTTAACACACTAAATAATGCAAAAAATTAAATATTATTTATGCAAGTAAGAAGTGACAATCATGCCATTTCATGTCAGTTTAAACAAGTTCGTGTTCAAAATTAATCAACTAGTGCACGACCCTTTTATTAAACTATTGGCAATTGTAAAAATCGAACACAATTCCTTTATTTAGGGGGTTATCCTAACAATGACTTATATAACTTGTCAAATAAGTCTAACATGAACTTCTAAATTAAAATGGAACAAGCTCTACATCTAAGCCTAATTTTTATGTATGCCTAAATTTTAAAAGGGTAAAAGAGTAATAAATGGGTTGATATACTTTATTCGATATAATTCGTATAACAAGTGGGTTGGCGGTCTACCAATTTATTATCCAAATCCATTAACGTTGAATCTAAACCCGTTAATTTGTGTCGGATAATTCAGCCGTGTTACATTTTTGCAGGCCTATGTGCACCATTTATATTTGAAGTATTTTTTTGTTTATGTAATTACGTAATTTAAAATTAAAATAGATATAGAGAAAGTAAGAAAGAGTGAAGGAGAGATGAAAAGAGAAGTAAGTGTGGCTTTATGAGTCATTTGGCATTAGAGGGTGTATTAATTGAATTGTCTGATATCGAAAGTTGTGCAAAAAATATGATATTTTTGTGTAATGAGTTTTGTGTGGTTAGATGAAATTGGAAAGAATATATGATTGATTTCAAATGTTGTTATGGTTTATGAATGTTCTATTTAAATTGCTAACTTTAATATTATATAAATATTGAATCGGTATAGAATTGACTAAATATGATATGAAATCTTTTAAATATTATCTCTTTTTAATACATTTATAAAATAAAATAACTTATAATTCAAAATTTAAAAGATAAATAAAATGACTTTTACTTTTTGCGGTTCAGATCGCTTTAAATTTTACTTTAAAGTTAACCTAACAATTAATATTAGCACCATAAATTTAATAAGAAAAATATGGCTCTAAGGGTATGTTTAGAGTGACTTTTTAAAAGTACTGTTATAAAATTATTTCTCTTAAGTATTTTTAAAAAATATTGTGTTTGAAACCACCCCACTACTACCTTTACCACCACCACTACTGTCGCCGCCCCCATCACCCCTACCACCGTCGTTGCCGCCACCACAACCAACGCCGTCGTCACCACCACTATCGCCGCCACCCCAGTCATTGCCATCCATTAGAACCATCACCGTTTCCTACTACCACCATTGTCGCCCACCACTTTTCACCCCTATTATAAAATCGATGATTAAATTCTTTTATTTTTTTTTTATATTTGCGATNACACGAATCTGATATAACACGATTTATTAGACACAAATTAATAAACGAATTGGGTATGGATAATATATTTTTTGATATGAACTCAATAAAATTCGATACAAACCAGTCTCACCCGATACGATTAATAGCCCTATTGTTTTCGTGTTGAATTTGAAAATTTCCTCTATCGAAAATTATCATTGAAGAATAGAAAGTACCATCATCGTATATTTTAGAAGGTTACATGGACTAAATTCACTTAATCCGCTCTTATCCTCTTAAATATGTGAACAAATGAATATTTATTTCATTTTTACCTCAAGAGATTCTGCTTATTTTCGTATTTGTACATAACACGGGCGTGACTACGAACACAATTAGAATTGATACAACATTAATGAAATTAGACATTTGTTTTAATGGACAAACTAGTCAATAATCTCATATTTTAACACACTAAATAATGCAAAAAATTAAATATTATTTATGCAAGTAAGAAGTGACAATCATGCCATTTCATGTCAGTTTAAACAAGTTCGTGTTCAAAATTAATCAACTAGTGCACGACCCTTTTATTAAACTATTGGCAATTGTAAAAATCGAACACAATTCATTTATTTAGGGGGTTATCCTAACAATGACTTATATAACTTGTCAAATAAGTCTAACATGAACTTCTAAATTAAAATGGAACAAGCTCTACATCTAAGCCTAATTTTTATGTATGCCTAAATTTTAAAAGGGTAAAAGAGTAATAAATGGGTTGATATACTTTATTCGATATAATTCGTATAACAAGTGGGTTGGCGGTCTACCAATTTATTATCCAAATCCATTAACGTTGAATCTAAACCCGTTAATTTGTGTCGGATAATTCAGCCGTGTTACATTTTTGCAGGCCTATGTGCACCTATATTTGAAGTATTTTTTTGTTTATGTAATTACGTAATTTAAAATTAAAATAGATATAGAGAAAGTAAGAAAGAGTGAAGGAGAGATGAAAAGAGAAGTAAGTGTGGCTTTATGAGTCATTTGGCATTAGAGGGTGTATTAATTGAATTGTTTGATATTGAAAGTTGTGCAAAAAATATGATATTTTTGTGTAATGAGTTTTGTGTGGTTAGATGAAATTGGAAAGAATATATGATTGATTTCAAATGTTGTTATGGTTTATGAATGTTCTATTTAAATTGCTAACTTTAATATTATATAAATATTGAATCGGTATAGAATTGACTAAATATGATATGAAATCTTTTAAATATTATCTCTTTTTAATACATTTATAAAATAAAATAACTTATAATTCAAAATTTAAAAGATAAATAAAATGACTTTTACTTTTTGCGGTTCAGATCGCTTTAAATTTTACTTTAAAGTTAACCTAACAATTAATATTAGCACCATAAATTTAATAAGAAAAATATGGCTCTAAGGGTATGTTTAGAGTGACTTTTTAAAAGTACTGTTATAAAATTATTTCTCTTAAGTATTTTTAAAAAATATTGTGTTTGAAACCACCCCACTACTACCTTTACCACCACCACTACTGTCGCCGCCCCCATCACCCCTACCACCGTCGTTGCCGCCACCACAACCAACGCCGTCGTCACCACCACTATCGCCGCCACCCCAGTCATTGCCATCCATTAGAACCATCACCGTTTCCTACTACCACCATTGTCGCCCACCACTTTTCACCCCTATTATAAAATCGATGATTAAATTCTTTTATTTTTTTTTTATATTTGCGATTTGATTTTAGATATGAATACAAATATGTTTATTGTTTATTATTTTTCATTATTCTGTGCCACCAGGTACAGATAATAACTAGTATTTAATATAATATAAATCCAACTATTCATAATTATAAATAAATTTAGTATAAATTAAATAAAATTTAATACTACACATATATAATTTCCAAGTAGAGTACTGATACGAAGGTATGAGCTTCACGAAATTTGCTCTTAACGTCTAAAAATTAGTCAAAATGAGTAGTAATTTTTCTTCCATTTTCACCCCAGAAATTATCATTATTCCATATTTATGCGCATATAAAAAAGGACATGTATCTTTATATTATATAGTTTTTGCGTTGTTTCTTTACCTTCTCTTCAACCATCAGTTTCTTCGATTTGTTGATCTACTTTGTCTGAGACAAGGGGGTATTGATCTTTGTCCTCGAGCTAATTGAACTAATTTGGATCACTTATGAGTGACTCATGGCTGATCATTCTTCATTGGGAATTGTAGAGAGAGAAAGCTGGGATTCTTCTGAGATGTGTCTATGAACAGAGAAGTGTTAAACTTTTAGATACATGTATTTATATACATATATATAGAGATTGTTGTGTTGGGTTTGCTGGGTTTTCTCGGATTTGTTTGGATTTGATATGGGAGGGTGTTTTCCATGCTTTGGATCGTCAAGCAAGGAAGGGAATGGTGTGAAAGAAGTAACCAAAAAAGATTCTGTAAAGGAAGGTTCAGCTGCCCAGACTCACCATGTAAACAGAATTAATTCAGGTAAGGCACTTGATTTGTTCTTCAAAATGCCTTTTTGGAATTGTTTTCATACGATTATTTTATGGGTTTGGGTTTTCAACTGGTGAGTGTGCTTTGGCTTGGTTGAATTTTGTGTTTTTAATGTTTTGTGATAGTCTTCTAACGATGAGTTGTTGGAATTTTTTGTTTGCTCGATCTGATTCATCTAGGGTTGTTTGGTTTATTCGGGTGATTACAGAATTGTGACTTTTGCAGATTTGTTGTTATAGGTCATTGATGAACTTGTAGTCTGCAGATTTGTTTTAATTGTCTTACTTTGTCACTCCCACTAATGCTGTGGTGTTATAATGTGTTGGGGAGATCGGATTTTTGTTTGGCAGAATTGACAATTGTTTTATGATCATTCACAATTTGATAATGTTGCAAAAAGAAAAAGAAAAAGAAAACAAGGGTAATAAATGCCATTTAGCTGAACAAAGCTTGGAGTTGTATACGTATACTCAGTGCGAAGAAAGCAGTGAGGATAGAATATCAGTTGGTGAGTTAATGTAATTAATAATTTCTAAATTGGGTTCTGATTATGGTTTATCGTGTATTCAAAGTGACAAACTCGGATGACTATTCTGTGTACACTACAGAAAGTTCAATGGAACTGCATACTGTACTTTATAAGCACGAAATGCCATAAGAACTGATGTTCATAGTGAGTTGCTTGAAAAACAAGGAGGGTAAAAATGGACTGGGAAGGTGAAAGCTGAGGATGCATATAATTCTCGCATGATGAGTTTTTCTCGTCTCAGGGTAGTTTAATATTGAAATGTGTTTAGCAATTATGATTCAAGTTCCTCAATATGCTATCCAAATAAGATTTCGTTTTGTTATGCCTTTATTTTGTGGGGGCTCCTAAACTTTTTCTTATTCTCTTATTTGTACAGACAAATCAAAATCTTGGGGTGGTAATGATCCTAAGAAGGATGCAGCAGTTCCAAAAGATGGACCCACAGCACATATTGCTGCACAGACATTCACATTTCGTGAGCTAGCTGCTGCAACAAAGAATTTTAGGCCAGAGTGTTTCCTGGGTGAAGGTGGGTTTGGACGTGTTTATAAAGGTCGTCTGGAAAGCACAGGACAGGTAAATTGTGCTTGGTTGAAAAAGGAACTCTGTTAGACTTTATACAGCAATGATTGCCGAAACTGTTAAAGTTCTGCCTCCTGACCTCTCCATGAATGTATTTTTGAGAATTTCAGTCACAGTGTCTCATCATTCATGTTGTCGTTGGGTCAAAATGTTCCTGTTTCAGGTAGTTGCTGTGAAACAGCTAGATCGTAATGGCCTACAAGGAAATCGAGAATTTTTGGTGGAGGTTCTCATGCTTAGCCTATTACATCATTCAAATCTTGTCAACTTGATCGGTTATTGTGCTGATGGGGACCAGCGCCTCCTTGTGTATGAATTTATGCCATTGGGATCTTTAGAGGATCATTTACATGGTGAGACTGCAGTCCTTTTTATATGATTGCTTTGTATAATATATAAATTTTGCTTTCTACGCATATTTCAAATGTGCTGTCTTTGGGTTTTCAGGAATTAAAATGGACATGCAGGAGGGTTTGTTGCTAGTTTCTCAGTGTTCTTACTTGTCATTTCTTTTAGCATACATTTAAGTTTGTCATAAACTGACGATTATCTTGGCATTGGAGCATCATTAATTGCATTAAATCTGTGTTTAGTGAGATTAAGATGTTCAGTAGGACATAAATATGGACATCAGTGAAACCCTGGTTCATCGTATATTTGCATGCTTTGTGTGCTTATGTGTCATTTCACATGTATCCCCATGTGAGCCCATACATTTTGCTTGCAGGCATGGATATTTCTCCTGCATCTATCACAATATGTATGGCTTCCTGAGTTTTTTCCAAGGACATTTTATTTTGCAATTAAGAGTGGATTTTGTGCATATTTTAGATGGTTCAAGTAAATATGTATATGTATATGATCTCCCCTTTTTGTCCATAATTTGCCAATGAAGCTTAAGCTAAACTATGTGCAGCATTCAGGATTGAGGAAATACCCAAATATCAAACTGGACTCCCTGTGAGCATATACATTAGCTTGCAGGCATTTGTGCATGCATGTTTCTCATGCATCTGTCTTCTAAATATGTATGGCTTCCTCCATTTTGCTAAGTAGTTAATTTTTACTAAGTAGTTAAGAATGGATTTTAGGCAAACTAAAAAAGAGTAACATTGTACATGAATATACGATTACCTTTTTGTTCATATCGTCATTGAAGCTTAAGCAAAAGTGCATGCAACATCAGGAAATACAGAATAGCAGCAAACTGAACTTCCTATTGTCAAACATGTGTAAGTTGTCTGTTGTCTTATAGTACATGGCTACTTAAGGAAAAACTGTGCTTACCTAAGTCAGAGTTGCTATGTTGCTTTCCAGAAAGCATGGGGTAGCAGTAAGGCAATGTTTCATGCTCATTTAGAAATGTTTGAAGTTCCTGTATTGCAAATAACTATGATGTGTATGGCGTGGAATATTTGTTTGACCGGACAAATACTATGTAACAATGTATTTGTCAGTGAGAGTAAATTCGTTACTGGATTCCTTGAATATTTTTTTCTGTTTGCTTCTTTTTTGATGGATGGTTCAAGGTTAATTCAAGTGCTCATCTCGAAGATTCCTTGGTATGCTTGCAAATTAAAATTTTCTTTAGGGATTCATAAACAATGGCATATCCTCCTCATAGAATTAAGTGCATCTAACAACTAGAAGAACCAGTACCCGACATGGTTGACTTAGTAGCATATATTGATTTGTCCTCTTATAAAAAGAGATAGTTAACTGTAGTTAATTTATAAACTACCATAGCTGTAATTTGGAATTAGATGGTTGAACTGATAGTGTTTGAAAATAAAACATCTTAGGAAGCTAACTCATTATGACAAAGCATTTGAGGTTCATGATTTTAATATAGAATTTTCTCACGATTTCGTATGAGAGACTGGAAAGCTGAAATGTAAGCCCCAAATAATTAGAATTTGGCATTAGTTATAATGGTCCTTGGCGCTATCAGCATTATTTTCAGTAGGGGTTAAATTTAATGTTTAGTATTATAGTTACAGTTGCATTTGTTTATTGTTGTAGCAGTAGCAGTAGCAGTAGTTTTGAACTTAAAAGCTGGGGTTGTAGTAGTATGGCTGGTGGTGGGGAGTGGTGGTTGATAGATGTGGTGCTGGTGGCGGGGGGTGGAGTCTCGCTTCTTGTACTAGTTCTAGCAGTAGACTTTGGTGGTATTTTTGTGAAAGAAACTGCTGTGATGGTAATGGTAGAGCATATATTAACTGTAGGTTTTAGAATATCTTTTCACCCTACTATATTCGAAAATATTTGATTTTCCAAGAGTTGTGCCCTAGAGTTGCTAGAGAATTCCGGAAAGTGAGTTGCTGGAGAACTCTGAAAAGTGAGTTGCTAGAGAATTAATTATGCCAGACTTGGAGACAGTTGTAGTCTTGGTCAGAAGTTTTTTGTTCATAGTGTGTAGTGGAGGTTTAAAGACATGCAAGAAATCTATTGAGAACATCGATTGGGTTTCAAAAGCTTTCAACTTGGTTGCCTTAGGTTAAAATGATCGTCTAGAACTTCAGTGCATGATCTGGTTGAATGCATCTTGATTGGGTGGTTAATATCAATGTGGTCAGCTACAACAGCTACTGATAATCAGAGTCAAAGGTTTGGAATCCTTTTCATTCTTCCATTTATTGTAGGATGATCAGAATCAACTATCTTAGGAAAGTGGTGCCCCTTGTTCAAAATTACACAGGAATTTGCATTAGAATGTGATTTTGTGAAGTTATGATTGGTAGGAACTTTGTAATTTTGCCTTGTGCATTGGTTGACATGGTTGAGAGTTCAATTTTTTGGGGCAACCATGTTGTGTTTGAGATGTGATTAAAAAAATAACTTCTTGGAGATATAGGTGATGAAATTTTAAGCATTTTAATCACTTGGCGAGGAGTAGTCATAAATATATTAAGTTATACAACCAGTTAGTGGGTGATTTTTATTTTTGAAACTTGTTCTTTAGCATTGAAAAGAATAAATCTTACCACCACTTCTTGGGTGATATTTTTGTTAAATCTTTTTAATCCTTCTTTTTTCTTTGTAAGAAACACTCAGAAGAATATAGAAATGCCCTGTAGTATCACAAGAAATTAATCTGTCTTTTACCCCTTTCCCCAATCAATATGTTGAACCTACCTGATCTCTCTCTCTCTCTCTCTCTCTCTCTTTTATCTTTACTTTTTCTTCCCAGATCTTCCGTCAGACAAAGAGTCTTTGGACTGGAATACAAGGATGAAGATTGCGGCTGGTGCTGCTAAGGGCTTGGAATATTTGCATGACAAAGCAAACCCTCCTGTCATATACAGAGACTTAAAATCATCCAACATCCTTCTTGATGAGGGCTATCACCCTAAGTTATCAGATTTTGGACTTGCGAAACTGGGTCCTGTTGGTGATAAGACTCATGTCTCTACACGGGTGATGGGAACATATGGTTATTGCGCTCCTGAATATGCCATGACTGGTCAACTCACTTTGAAATCTGATGTTTATAGTTTTGGAGTCGTCTTTCTTGAACTTATTACAGGGCGCAAGGCTATTGACAATGCCCGGGGTCCAGGAGAGCATAATCTCGTTGCATGGGTAAGTAGTTCTTCTCTTTATAAATCTGTTATTGCTTTTTTATATGTGATCAACTACTTCAAAAATTTTCACAAATTGATGCATGCTTACTTGGTAGTTGATCCTGTAGCACACTTCAGACAAGATTTTTCCTTGTTTCTTTCATTTGATGGGACGTGGATTTGTAGGCACGCCCACTTTTCAAGGATCGAAGAAAATTTCCCAAGATGGCTGATCCACTACTGCAAGGCCGATATCCAATGCGAGGACTTTACCAAGCACTTGCTGTAGCAGCCATGTGTTTGCAAGAACAAGCTGCTACAAGACCTCTAATTGGGGATGTTGTGACTGCTTTGACGTACTTAGCCTTGCAAACCTATGATCCAAATGCCTCCAATGCCCAAAGTAACAGAGGAGGCCCATCTACCCCTCGGAGTAGGGAGGATCGTAGGAACTTGGCAGATGGGCTGGATAGTCCAGACGAACCTGGGCGTGGTGACCGCCATGGTTCTCCTTCCACCCATAAAAACTCTCCTGATTTCAGAAGAAGAGACACTGTCAGGGAATCAAGCAGTGGTGCAGAGTTGAGAAGGATTGAAACCAGCGGCGGGTCTGGGAGGAAATGGGGTTTGGATGAATCTGACCATCCTGATTCTCAAAGAGACAGCCCCGCCAGTGCTGGTAGAGCTAGAGAAACTCCAAGGAATCGAGATCTAGACAGAGAACGTGCAGTTGCAGAGGCGAAGGTGTGGGGTGAGAATTGGAGAGAGAAAAAGAGGGCAAATGCAATGGGTAGTTTTGATGGTACAAATGATTGATTGAGCTGAAATTCTGAGGCATGTCACCCTAGTCTTCTGGGCACAAATTTATGTGCTGAGGTTATCATGAAAACGACTGAGAAATCTGCTGATGCATCATCATCATTTGCTGTCATTGTTTCTACATCCACCCGATGAGTACGAGTTCTTTTATTCACCTTTGACACTTGTTGCTTGCCTTATATGATTCTTGTAGTTCAGCATGAACTGCATGCTTCAATTATGTGGTGAAAGGAGGTGCGGTTAAAGAAGGGTCCAGAAGGGATTAGTTGTAATTTTCAGAAAATATGTATTTAGGGCTTCTGGGAAGTTCATGATACAGGAGAAGCTTGGAAGAAAATGTCTAATTTTTGCTCCGTATGTTGTCTTTGTGTAAGGGGAAACTAAGTGGGTTTGGTTTGGGTCTCTCATTGTTCCATTGTTACACCATGATCATGTATCTGTCATACAGTTTCCAAGTGTATGGATTTCCGAGTCGTGTCATGTTTACGGCTTATACAAATCGACTTGATCATCATATTGTTCTCCATGAAATGTGTGTGTGATTGTGCGAGTGTGATGAGCTGATGAGTTGCTGGTAATTCTGTCTTTCTCACATTCAATTTGGTATCAACCTTGAGTTGAAATGGATATCCTTGTGCTCCTATGGTGTAGTAGGGTAGGGCAGATTGCCTTTTAGTTGAGTGGGGTGCAACTCGGCAGGTGGAACAATTAACCTTAGCCTAATTCTAGGTATATAATCTTTTAACCCTAACTTTAACCCTAATCTTAATCCTAATCCTACCTCGAGTTGAGAAACTCAATCTGAGTACTGTCCGAGTTTAATTTGGGCAGGTTCAGGTTGAATTCAGGTTAATAATTTTGGGTTGATTTTGGGTTACTTTACGGGTTCAATTCAGGTTGAGTTCGGATAGAATCTAAAATAGGTTTGTTGTTCTAAATTTAATATATATATTACATAATATTCACATAAATTAACAACCAATAACTTCAATCAAGTTTTTAACATAAAAATTATTACCACCAGTCCACTACGAGAGAGACAGAGAGAGGGGAAATAATTACAAATTTANTAATATTCACATAAATTAACAACCAATAACTTCAATCAAGTTTTTAACATAAAAATCATTACCACCAGTCCACTACGAGAGAGACAGAGAGAGGAAAATAATTACAAATTTATAAAATATAATTCATATATTTTATTCATAACAGTTCATGATTATTGATCATCTGCTTTCACACTAAAAACTAGTATTAATACTTTATATATATAATTTTTTTTTAATTTGTCGGGTTTAAGTTAAACCCGTGAATCTGATGTCTTAACTCGAGTCCAACCCAAATTGAATTCAAATTGAAGTTTTTTAACCCAAATTCAATCAAGCATTAAAAATCGTTATTTAAGTCTTAATTTTTTCGAGTTAACCTCGAGTTTAAATCGAATTGTTTAACCCAAATTGCACCCTATAGTCTAGTGCTCATGATGCAATGCAGAAACTGTGCCAAGGGACCGAGCAGGGCATCGCTAGAGGCATAAGAGCTGACTTGCCATTAGCCTTCGTGTTGCGTTGACTAAAGAAAAGTAGAACTGCACGAACTTTTCAACTTGATCTACTCCCTTCATCTCCATCCTTCCATGGAAAAATTGGAGGTTGACAAAATACTGAAATTTCAATAAATTCATCGACTAATCAAATGGTCTCAAATAAATTCATCTAACGGTCATCAACAACTCTCTCAAAAAAAACACTTGTTGCTCTAATATGATCAGNACTTTTCAACTTGATCTACTCCCTTCATCTCCATCCTTCCATGGAAAAATTGGAGGGAGACAAAATACTGAAATTTCAATAAATTTATCGACTCATCAAATAGTTTCAAATAGATTCATCTAACAGTCATCAACATCTCTTTCAAAATCATTCACATTGAATTTTATTTTATTTTTTTCATTCTCTAGTCTCTCTCTATGAGATCTTACCTCTAATTTCTTCAAATTAATCGATTAATTTATATTATATCGTGCCTTTAAACACGGATTACGGCAAAATAATATTGAATGCATAAACAATATTATCCTAAAAAAAACACTTGTTGCTCTAATATGATCCGATTGCGATTCTTCATCCACCGATGCAAACAAATACTCCACTTTTCAAATATCATAAATACTCTCTGAACTAAGACTTTTATTTTAAATTATCCCTTTTAACTTTCAGTAATCTCAATTTGTCCCCTTGAATTGTATAACTTATTCCAATCGATTCCTTCCGTTAAGATTAATAGTTATTTTTTTGATCAAAATATCAACTTTCATTAATAAATAAAAACTGGATTTACAAATTTTGTGGTATAGATATTTTGTATCAATTGCTGTCGAGGGGATGATATCCAGTTCAGTGGGAGGGTTCCTTGCCTAGTCTGTAAAGCCAACATGTGCACCAATGAGTTGCAGGACCTTCTCACGTGGCAAAACTTAACTTCTGTAAGCTATTGTGCATAGTGACAAATATCGTGTTGTATTACTTCAACTTCCTTTGTACATGTAATTGAATCTTATTGAGAGATTCAATGAGACCGTTAAGATTAACTATTAAATAAAATAGATTAATGATTAATCTTAACAAAATTTATCTTAATTTTATAGTTAATCTTAATAAAATCTGTCTCATTTATTGGTTAAAATATTAACGGGAGGGGTCAATTGAAATAATTACATAGTTCAAGGGATAAATTGAAATAATTAAAAATTCAAGGAACAGTTTATGAAAGGGCATAGTTTAACAATTTTTTTTTAGTCTTTTTGTAGACAGCCCTTACCTATCACGTGTGGGACACGGTCAAAATGGTAGCCGCCCATTCCTTATCAAACTGCACATCAGAAAATGCTGCCGTTTACACGCCACGACAGCGATTTACCATAACTACCCTCACAAAACAGCCAAAACCACGAACAAAGACTATGGCATTATCGACATTCAGGTTAAAAAATTTCCAAAATCTGTTTAAAACGTTCTCCCTTTTCTCCTTCGGTTCTCCGCTCCCCCAACAAGTCTCCTATCCGTCGTCGTGTTGCCAGAGACGGGAATGCCGTTGCAATTCGACTTCGCTGTTCGGTAACCGGGAAAATATATTCTCCGATTAAGTCCGGAGCTACGAAATTGCAGATAGAGCCTTTGTACCAGGTTTGTTTCTACTTCGGTGAAAGTTCTTTGTATCAATTATGAGTTTTGGCCCTACTTATGTATATTCATGTTCGTACACACATATATACGGTAGAGAACGTTGTTTTTCTTATTCCCTAGGATGTAGAACGCGTTACCGGTAGGAAAAAGCCGAGAGAAATTTTTTGGTTTATTTTTTGTTTTTTTGGGAATTGTGCATTAATTTTTAGGATCTTTTTGAATTTTTTTAATGTTTTGTATATTTTCAGATTATGGATGGAAGAAGGTGGCTGAAGGTGGCAATTCTATTGTGTTTAGTTGTTGTTTCAGCTGGTAGAGGTAATAAGCTATGAAGGAAATTATGATATTTGTTCTGTTTTCTGCAATTAGGGTTTTTGAGATGAATTTTGAATTGTTGTTTCTTGAATTGGACGCGGTTCAAATTTGGTCAACTCTAAAAGAGTACTTTTGAATACAAAGACACAGGAGTCTTGAACAATACTCTATATTCCTTAGTATATGTGAAGTTAAATTCAACTTAGTTATGTCAGGGCGATGATGATTTCTTTGGGTTTCTGAATGTTTGTCAACTATTTAGTGATGTTTTTTTTTTGCTTTCGGAAGTACCCCTTTTAGCAACTTAGAGATTGTTGATTCAATATATATCATCACAAACCCCTTTTTTTCTCTATGTTCCTAGAATGTTCACTTGAAAAATTATCATAAACTTTACTATTCCAATTTTTATCCACCAATACGGTTCTACTGCTTAAGGTTGTCATCCTTGTATGGATGTTGGTGGATGGAATGATTTTTTTCTTTTCGTTGCCTAACAGATATTCTGGGTCATGAATAATTTAAACAACTGCAGCAATTTTTGTGGGCTTTATTTTCTGTTGAAAAGTTATCTCTAATCACAGTTTTCTTTCTTGGCTTCAGAACTGAAGTTCAGGCACAATCATCAATTTCCCATTTACAATCACACGCTTGCCACAATATTGGTGGAGTATGCTTCTGCTGTAAGTTCTGAATGAAATAATGTTTACATCACCGAGGGTATGGGTATGAAGTTCATTTGGAATTTTCTTATATGTCATACTTTTTTATGTGAATCAATAGATTATTACAGGTTCAGGATCCATTTCTCTATTTAGAATAAGATTCATACAAAGTAAGTTTCATTTAGAGAATGAGAAGTTATATAAAAAGTTAATGTGGATGACAGTTGAGAAAGTGAAGTTGGTTGGTTAAATCAGCACATTCTTGAAGTTGCAATAACTCTGATGAGATCATTTATGGGTATTGAGGAACGCCCCAGTTTGCAAGAAAAGACTGCACCAGATAGGGAACCAAGTAAAAAATATGTAAACTTATGATGTGAAGGTATTACCTTCATCTATCTCTTTGCTCCATGAAACCACTGACCAACCCTTAGGAATATAATACCCAGTAAATCAAAAAATGCAAACAAACAAGGCAGACTTGCTGGCTTATGGGGATACAATCTTTCATTTGTCTTCTGTAGAACCCATGTATGCATTATTGACCTAGATTCTTGAGCGAGGATGAAATCCCCACTTGTGAGCTCCTTTTCTAAAAAAATCAGGATTGGCTTATTAAATTAGTTTTTCCTGATTCAAAGTGATAAAAATATAAAGTGTAATCTGTTGCTTTCTCAAGTTTATTTTATGTTACTCTATTTTACATTATCATATCCTTTTTAATGATTTGAGGTCCTGAGAACTCTCCAACATGTAGAGGGACAAGGCTAACTGGAAACAGAAATTCTACTATTGTAGGTGTACTTGTCAGATTTGACAGAACTATTCACGTGGACGTGTTCGAGATGTGATGGTCTGACAAAGGTATTTTGATTTGCATAATCACCACATAATCAATTAACGAAAGAGTATTTTGCGTAAATCTGATTAAAAATTTATCTGTTCAAAAACTTTGTTGCAAGATATGTGCTGCTTTCTAAATATTTAGTAACTGCCAATGAAGAATGCCTTTTTTTTTTTGCAAGCAGGGATTTGAAATGATAGAGCTGATTGTTGATGTCCAGCATTGCCTTCAGGTGCAGTTCTCATAGCATAGTGACACGAGGAAAGGAGCATGAATCTTATTTTTGACAATATTTTACTCTTTGTTTATGGTGACTTAGATTTGATAATTCTTGTGAATATTTATTGCAGGGATTTGTTGGGGTGGCAAAGGATCTCAATGCTATTGTGATTGCATTCAGAGGCACTCAGGAGCGCAGGTTTGAATATTCTCACCTTCTTATTCATCCTTTTTGTCACTCAAAAGCACTATTTCAAATCAGGATTTTCAGTGGATTGGAAAGGGTTTCTGTACGAGTTAAACGATTTTTGGTGCATGAATTGCCTGTTTTGATGAATGGCAAGGGAAAGAGAATGAGGTTGGAACCTGTAATCACCTATGGGCGAGAGTGTGGTCTTACCACTATGCCACTCCCTCACCTCATTGATTGGTCGGTCCGCAGTGATATAATAGAAAGAAAAAAGTGCATGTTTGTATGTTGGCATGGATGTGCCTATTGTACTCTGCATTAGTTCCATAATTGGCACTAAAAAAGCGAGATGTCTAATCGGAATTGCTAAGTTTTGATGTTCTGGGAGTGCAGGGCTGATAATTGTTTCCATAAAGTGGAGAATATTATATGTTCTTTGTTCCATCCCCTTTTTTATCTTCAAAATTTACAATGGTTGTCCAAACATCTCTCAGATTTTAAGAGAAAATAGAGGCACATGCTGCAGGCGGTTTGATGGAAGGATAATATCTTTTAATTGACAAAGCTTTATTGTAGGATAAACAACAAAAAATGTCTGGAGTCATAGAGAGAATTCACAGGAATGTTATGGTATCTTAATTGAATTTAATTGCAATATATTTTCTATATATATGGGATCAAATTTTACAGTTTTACTAGTTTGACTTATATTGAGTTTCACTAGGATTCTGAGTTGATTATCATCTGGGTTGATATAGTATGTTCTTCTAAAATCCAAAAGTAACTTATATGCCAAGCATTCCTAATAGAATGCCACTTTCTTAAAATAGCAGCTATTTACAGCTTATATATTTATTCTTTCTAAGCTATGGCCAACTGGCATTGATAAAGATTTGTTTAGAACCTCACAAGCCCTTAAAATGTGATTAATCCTGCTGATGTGTTATCCATGCATTATTTGGTATTATACAGGTTGACTTGGTTTTGTAATTTTGCAAGATGCCCCTACCTCTCTTTCATTGATTAGTGTTTAATAAGTGAACCGTGTGTTAACAGCATACAGAATTGGGTTGAGGACCTATACTGGAAGCAGCTGGACTTGAATTACCCAGGGATGCCTGATGCAATGGTGTGTGCTGCAGTAAAGTTTGTCTGTGTGTGAGTGGGTTTCTTCACCGATAGATTATGATTTTTTCATGCATCTTATATGGTTCCAGGTGCATCATGGATTTTATAATGCTTACCACAATACAACTGTACGTCCTGGAGTTCTAAGTGCTGTTAAAGAAGCACAGGAGTTATATGGTGACCTCCAGATAATGGTGACGGGGCATTCCATGGGAGGGGCCATGGCTGCTTTTTGTGGACTGGATCTTATGGTAATTATAATCAAGCCCTCTCAATTATGTTGTGATGTTTGCATGACAAGCAATGCAGTTGGTTTTTGAGCAAGAAGATCACATTTGTTTTTCTTCATTCACTATGTTATGTTTACTAAAGCATCCACAGCCTTCATTTTCCCAAAAATGCTTAGCTTAAATGAAGTTCAAATGTGTTTAGATTTGTTGATATTGGAGTCGATTCTTGTCTTTGGATGATTTTTGCCTTTCCTTTTCCCATTTTTTGGTCTATGTTCCTGCAGTTTGCAGAATTTATTTATGTTGGTGGTTTATTGAACGGTTGTTTGCTTATTTCCAGGTCAACTGTAAAGCCCAGAATGTTCAGGTTATGACATTTGGACAACCTCGTGTTGGCAATTCTGCTTTTGTGTCCTACTACAACGAACTGATGCCAAATACAATTCGAGTCACAAATGGTCATGATATGGTGCCTCATTTACCTCCATACTATTCTTATTTCCCACAAAAGACATACCATCACTTTCCAAGAGAGGTAACATTTTGAGCCTGAGACTCTGAATTGAATAGTGTTCTCCTCACCTTAAAAAGAATAAAGCCAAAGCATGTGAATTTAGTTGCAAAGTATTGTAAGGTGGTGAAAACTATCAAAAAAGTGGTTAATGTTGTTTTCACGCTTAAAAGCGTGTGTTTTCCTGTAAGCTTATGTAAGTTGCTTTAATTCACTATTTCTGAGGAAAGTGCTAAATCTCTGCTCTTTATGTGAGGCTACTAGCTGCATCACCACTTTTTGGGACTAAAATATCCTACCCAGCCCAACTTTGTAAAGGGAAAAAGAGAATAGAGGAACTTTTTGGTCTTCTTGCGCTTGTTTTTTGTTCCTGAATTTCTGGCTTTCCAGTTTGAGTCTCAGTGCAGTTATTTGTATTATTTTTAAACCTTCACTGTGCCCTGGTTGGTTTTTTTTGTCTGTGTCTGTGTATTTGTGTGTTTTTTTTTTTTTTTGGCCCCCAGAGAGGAAGGGGGGGGGGGGGTTGTTTAAAGTTTACCGTAGAGCAGCTTAGTGCATGGAGAGAGATGGAGAGACAATTTTTCATCCTGCCAATCTGGGCTATTTACAGACTTTCAAAGTCAGCAAAGAATATTTGGGTTCGAGAAGAATTTCCAGTTGAGGGTGATTTCTATATCTCAATTGAGAATAAATCTGAGATGGCCAAAATAAACTTTTTGGATCCCCCACAGTTGGCATCTATGAAACATGAAACTGGGCACGGTTGATCACAGATATGCACAGCCAGCCTAACGTAGTACGGGGGGAACACACCAACTATATTTTATTTTCAATATTGTGTAGTTTATCAAAAATATACAAGTTAATGTCAATGAAAAAAAAAACAAGTTAATGTCTACGATGATTCATTTTATTTCCTATTTCTGATTTTAAATGTGGTCAAAATTACCAGTCACGGATGATAAGTATGCTTTCTATCATGCTAAAAGGAATCCACACATTGTTCCTTGCATTCTGACGAGCATCCAAAGGCGTTGACATGAGTCCAAACATGGTCCAAATTATGAATTTCAGTATTGAAAAAGGTAGGTGTCATAATAAACATGTCCAAGAAGTGTTGGTTTTCGACGTGGCTGGCCTGACCAAGGCACCTTTTAGAAGTGTAGTGCTTCTTAGGTTAGCACTGATGTGGTGAACAAGTTCTGATTATTCACTAGAATTCTTGAAGACAACATGTATTCTTTCAACTTGCTATTCATTCTCCCAACTTTTTGTTTTTTAGTCCTAATCTGTTCTATTACTTGAAAGCATATTTGCTGGATGTTTTGAATTTGTGATTAATTCCTGTCCCATTCCAATATTTCTACATCTTGAGATATTTCCTATTCATGTGGTTTGATTATTGCAATTTAGTTGGATCTGTTGTACCTTATTCATAATAGCCTTCTCCTTACTTGCAGGTTTGGCTTCATAGTATTGGATTTGGAAGTTTAGTTTACCCAGTTGAGAAGGTTTGTGATGGTTCTGGTGAAGACCCAACTTGCAGCAGGTAACTGCTCTTTTGATGTGATCGATGTTTTCATTATTGATTTTATAATTTTGGTCACTTCCTCGTTAACTAATGATAATACCGAAACAAAAACCAAATTTGTTCTGATCATTCAAGGCACCGAACATCAACTTATGCTCTGGATGGTGGCTGAGAAAGCCATCCCACTTTCGCGCCATTTCTCTTCCAATGCAGCATTGTCTAACCCTGTCATCATAGCATTGGTTTCAATTCAGAAATATTTGTGATTCCAAACATTGTTCCACTCTGCAATGTCTCTACCGACCTTTCACCCCTGGTAATTTTTGCAGGTCCGTGTCGGGGAAAAGCATTTCAGATCATTTAATGTACTATGGTGTTAAATTAGGGGGTGATCCTGAGGGGACATGCAGAATTGTGATGGATCCTCATGTTGCTGCATACCGGACGGAAGATCTTAGCGGAAATTTAGTCTTCTCCAAGTATCCCTCCGCTTCTGTTTTGAAAATTAACACGGATTTGGATCCAAATGTTCAAGGCAGCATCATTTAGAATTTTACTTGGGTCATAATGTGATTTCTTGTGAAAAATAGATGGGGGAAGACCACCCCAATAGGTTTTGACAATTCTCTTTGGACCCTTTAGGGAAATGCATAGCTGATGAACTGTCATTGTTTGGACCTGGGTTGGGAGGGAGTGTCTATTGTTCTGTATAATCTTCCCCCCCCCAAAAGAAAAAAAAAAAAAGGTTCAACAATTCATGCTTGTAAATATTTGAAATGAATACTGTATTTATTCTAGTATACCATTTATTAAAATTCTCTTACGAATTATATTCTTCCAATTTGTGTATTTGTATTGGATCAACATGAATATTGTAGTCTTACTTGGATTCGTGACTGGTGATCCACTTAGATGCAATAGTTCCACTTTGATTCATAGTTAATGGTTTAGAATTGAGAGAATAAGAGTCCTATTGTGCTACAAGTCTCCCCAATCAACCGACAAGATGAACTGTAAATTTGACAACTCTCTTAAGGTAGGTTATGAGAAATTTATTTTTTATAAATATTCCAGTTTCAGCATAGATGTCTGTTTTTAATTAGATTGGAGAGAAGATTAGTCGAGGTGTGTTTAAATTAGTTTGAATATCATTGAGCATAACACCAAAAATAAAAAGTCTCTCCAATCTAATTTGGAACAAATGATGCATTCTCACTACGTCATATTATTACGTATAACTATNATAACACCAAAAATAAAAAGTCTCTCCAATCTAATTTGGAACAAATGATGCATTCTTACTACTTCATATTATTACGTATAACTCTTGGACTTTTTTATCAGAATTGTGTCAGTTGACTTATTTTTAGGTCAGGCTATTAAGTTTCAACGATGATCATGCCAAAATTGTTGAAACCCTAATAAATGATGAACCTTGAGTTCATCACTGGGTCTATTAATGTCACAACCTTCAATATGAGCCGATGGGAACCAGTTACATTTGAATTTTTGNGGCTATTAAGTTTCAACGATGATCATGCCAAAATTGTTGAAACCCTAATAAATGATGAACCTTGAGTTCATCACCGGGTCTATTAATGTCACAAACTTCAATATGAGCCGATGGGAACCAGTTACATTTGAATTTTCGAAAAATCTGAAGTAGCAAAATATATTATCAATACTTATCATGTTGTAGGCTAAAAGTTGGTTTAATGACCACTGCGTTTACTGTTGGATTTTAAGATCGTGAGTTCGAATCTCGTCGTTCTCTCCTTTTATAATATTGTTTAAACAAAAAAATATATACGTATTTATCGTGGTTGAAGCAATGAACGCGCTTGGCTTTATTATTAAAAAATAAATAAAATACCAACTTTAATATTAAGATCCATCTTGATGTACATTCCTTTAATCTGTTACATGAACTGCTAGTGTGGTACGGTTAAGATAAACAAAGATCAAGCACATAACAAGCTTCATGTCATCCATTTTTTGTCCTTCAATTCTTCTTCAGATCTTTAGCTGATGCTTCATTCACATGTTCCTGCAAAACCAAAGCCATTTGTTTTATGAGATTCTGTCAACTTTCTTTTCAAATTCCAACTCTAACCAACAGGGCTCGTTTAAGGCCTCTCATCTGGTGTTTTTTCCTTGGTATTTTTCTAGACATGACACGACTCTATTGTCATCTTAGTAACAAGACACGGGGGCATATTTGGTNAAACCAAAGCCATTTGTTTTATGAGATTCTGTCAACTTTCTTTTCAAATTCCAACTCTAACCAACAGGGCTCGTTTAAGGCCTCTCATCTGGTGTTTTTTCCTTGGTATTTTTCTAGATATGACACGACTCTATTGTCATCTTAGTAACAAGACACGGGGGCATATTTGGTTCGGATATAGTATTGGAATGTGATTGAACAATTGATTCCATTCGAATTTATAGTAATGGTGATAATTCATCAAATATTTAAACCTACCCTTATTACATTATGTTTAGATTAAGGTTTGGATAAGACGCAGGCCCATTGTTCTGATACTAAAATCATGCTCGGATGAGCTATTAATGTATGATAATATTTTAAAAATTAACATAATTCTTATATATATATATATATAAAATAAGTCCTTTTTCAGATTAGCTCTGTGTATCAACTTGCAATAAATTGTACCTCATTAGCACTCGGAACATTTTCTTCCAAGGCACTGTTGGCTGCCTCTGTTGCTGCAATGGTTGGCTTTGCTGCTTCTTCTTTCACTGGATTTCCTTCGGCCGTATTGACAGCCTCTTCTGCTCATGTAAAACATACTACAACGATGAGCAGTGACTTAAAACTGTAACCTGTTCAATATCATGCCCAATACAAGACTGAAGGGCTAAAACTAAAAGTGATGAGTTCTTGTAACCAAACATGTGATGCATCATACGTTTATTTTGGGTTAGACTCGCACGGTTTTGAAAGGTATTGTACAATGAAATGTGAATGTCTATAGTTATCAAACACTTCACACACATTTCAATAAGTGACTGGGGATCACAAAGGCCATGTGCAACCTAGGATGGTGGCACGTAATGTGGTGATAACCATTCTCGACTTCAACGGATAGCTTTAAGTGGTAATGGAGAGAAATTATAAATTCAGACATTATGAGTTCAAATGTTATCAATTTTTTAGAACTAGATCGTGAGAGATTTATTCTTTATGAATATCCTATTCTCGACGTATGGATAATGTACTTTTGACCAGATCAAAAAGTAAATTAATCGAAATACGCGTAAATTGACCCGAATACACTTGACTATTGAACTAAAATAAAATAACCATTCTCTAGAATCCCACCTCGCCTAGATTAGAGTTGACCCCATACACAAGGAAGTATGATCCTAAATAGAGATATTATAATAAGTCATACCCATTTCATATGAGTTTGTAAAGTATATATAAGTCTCATAACTCAATTTAACGTCGTTTTAATTCCAATTATTTAGAGTCGATTATATGAAACATATTTGTATATTGTACTTTAAAAGAATCATATTTTTTGTATGATATATTTTTTTAACTATTTTCATTCAAAATCATTTACGTTTGGCATTACTATCGTATAATAGTGCATCATTAGGCTTAATATGACACTTTATTGAGGTAAGGTCACAAACCATTCTTTGTTTCTGGTTTTGTTTCTTCAACTGCTTCTTTCTCCACTGCATTATCCAACTTCGTGTTCTCTTCAGGAGCATTCGTCTTGGCAATGGCATGTGGAGAGTAATACACAGATGTCCCTGACATTCCCTCGGAGATGATCTCCTCAATAGTTTCCCCAAATTCATCACCTTTCTGATCACCTCCCTCTCTCTCATCCCCCACAGGCTCCACATTTTTGGTCTCCTTCACATTGTCATCCCCAGAACCGACGTTGTCATTTTGTGTTTTTTCCAGAGGCAAATCATCAGGAACCTTGTCTGCTTTGTGGGTTTCTTTCAAATTTTCATCCCCAAAGACAGGGATTACGTTTGCAATTTCACTTTTTCTCACATGGGTACCCTCAGAGGCAGGTTTACCATTTAGATTTCTGCTTTCTTGTTGTGGAGACAAGGTGTTTGTGTTTGTGTTTGTGCCACTTGTGGGCTTTTCAGGATTGGTTTCAGCAAAGGTATCATCAGCTTTTGATTTGTTGTTTTTGTTAACGGTATTTCCTGTGACGACTTGATGCTTTGATTCCCCACAACCCATTTGTTGAGTTATGAGGCAGAGGTAGTTCTTTCTCCCTTCTTCTGTTGAGAGAGACAGAGAGAGCTTTGGCTGTGTTTGATGCCTTTGGGGCATTTTGGTATGTGTAGTTGAATGAAAGCCGTGTTTTCCGGTGCATTTGAAGGTTACGGTTGTGCCTGTGTTGGCACATAAGGGTGTATTTTTAGGCTAAGTAAAAGGCCAGCCGGCAATGGTATGATAGCTGTGGATATAACTACACATAAGTTATAGAGTTAACTATTTATTTAGTACTATTTTTTATCAAATCAAGTACTTGAATTATATTTTATATTAATTTATTTATCTCATGAATTATACAATCTGCTTCAATGTGATTCTTCCGTCTAAATTCGTCTTTAACTTTGATGGAAACCCTCATATGCACATCATGTTACCTATGAATTATAGTCTATTATCTGACTCATGAATTGTATAAGAGAGATTTTTCGTCAAAGTTGACAATAAATTTTGATGGAAGGGTCACATTAAATCAAATTACATAATTTAGTGGCTAAGTTGACATAAAATATAATTTAGGGATTTGATTGATGTAAACGGTACATATTTGGTATAATTTAGAGGATAAATTGACATAAAATAGGTAATTAACTCTAAATCTTAATTATTGCCATATATATATGGCCATTTCAAGGTAAAAAAAATTAGACAATTATTTTAAGAAGAGTTCACGAAGAATTGAAGTACTTGAAAACTAGAGTCTCGAGAATGAAAGTTAAAAAAAAAAAAGAAAGTAGAAAATTGATTTCTTAGTTCTTACGAGCCCAGATTCAGATCAAGTTTGAGTCCAATTTATAAGTTGAGCCCAAATCATCAAAAAAGAGATCAGACTTAGCTCATGACTTTGATCCAATCCAAAACTCAAAGGTCTAGAAAAAATCAACGCAAGTGAGAAAATAATCATCAGGATAGTCATTGTTCTAAGATAGTACCTATTACCAATAGTAGTTATCCTTCTCGATAAATTAGTAGTTTAACTTTCACGTCACTGTCACAGCTAAGACTCTGTCCCTATAAATTATAAATTCATTACACATAGGGGCGTATTTCACACACCTCACCTTGAGTATATTATTGCTCTCTCTCCCTCTTTCCTACTATCTTGTACTATTTCATTAATAGAATTGTTCGACCACCGTTGTCATCTTTAGTGGTTAGGTCCTCGTACCTAACTACCCAATATTTGTATCTTAATATTAACTATTTTATTAATTATTTTACACCATACATTTAACTAATTTAATTATATGTATATAAATTCACTTTTATCCAACGTCAAATTAAAAGGAAGTTTTCATATTTCTTGTTTAATTTCTAATTTTGTCAGTGTAACGCAGCTCAAGTTTGACCCAAAAAGTCTGGCAGGTCATTAGATGGGTAACAAACTGGGAGATTCAAGCAAACCAGCAAATTCCAAATGAAGATGGCCTTGATGTCAGTGCATTGACTGCTAACTGATTCTTTATTGTCAAATTTATTAATTTGTGCCATTTTTGCAATTATTTAATTTTTTTTTTCAGGAAAATAAAATTATTTTAAATTTTTTTTTTAGCTTGTGAGATATGGTTAGACTTTTGGTTTGGAACAGTGATAAATTTGTCAATTGTATCGAATGAAGCGTGTTTAAATCATGTTATATTAAGTTTGTATAATTTATAAAATTAGTATGGAAATAAATCGTACTATATATTTATTTTGATTAACTTTAGTTATACTCAAAATTTCCTATCAATTAAAAAATTATAATAATGTATTCGGTGGATAAATTAAATATAAATAATATTATCTCTAAAATCATCTCCAGCCTTTAGCTCCTTCCCCAAAATCATTTGATTTTTTGCCGCAATCAAGTACCAACAAATTGGACTACCCGTGTGGGGGTTCCTTTACACATCACTGTCTAAAGTCCCAAAGCATTGCGCACTGTAACTGTTTGCATGAATGCCCCAATAAAACAGTTACTCAATTTCCGTTGGTTTGCCCTCTCAAATCCAATTCGCTAATTACACGGCTCCTGTCGCTTGTCCCGCACTACTCTCTCACCGTTTGTGGCGTACAACGTGTCGAATTAGGTCGTTTTGTGTCCGATTGATTTTGAGTTTATGTTAAAAATTTTAAAATTTAAACCTGACATGTTTAATAATCGTGTCAAAATGTATAAATATTAACATAACTTAACCATTAAACGAGTTATTTAAACCAGACATGTTTGACTCATTTAATAAATATGTAATNGTTTTTTTTGACTCGTTATTGTTGAATTCAGCTTTATCTGACGGGTAGTATGGATCTTGATATTTTATTTTGTGGGTATCTGATAGATGCAAGCATTATAGAAGAAGATGCAAGATTAGAGCTCCTTGCTGTAACGAGATGTATGATTGTCGTCATTGTCATAATGAGGCCACGGTATTTTTTATTACTTTCGTTACCTAATCTTTCCACTTTACCCGAAATTATATGTCCATGGACCTCTTTTTCGATCAGGGTTTTTGCTTCTNACATATTTAACACACATAACACAGATATGTTTAACACACATAATTTGTTTTCACACATGTTTATTACTGTTAAATACACCATTTAATCATTTATTTAAAATTTCAAACAATTTTTTCACAAATAATATATCACATTTCATCAATAAAATTATGTCAAATGCCTTCAAGTTTCAAGTCAAAAATTAAAACAAGAACTATACTGTCAATTATCATAATAAAAACAAAAACTAATAAATACTAATGTTAAAACCACATCAATTACATATAAGAAACAAATTATACTGCCATAAACAGGTTAAACGAGTATACAATTGGTTATATCAGATTCATATCTGAATCATACTAATTCGTTTAAAATATACGAATTAATCAGATCAAAATCAAATTGACTTGATTTTGACATAATTTTTTTTGTATTTAAACGTATTAACTCATTTTAACTCATTGACTTGTTTAATTTCATGTTAAACCTACTAATTTTGTATTCAATTCATGCCACGTTGAAAATTAATAGCCCCACACATCTCCGTATCCTCCCTCCCCCCTCTCTCCCCCATGACTATAATTATTACTATTTATTATTTTTAGTCATAGGTGTCTGGATTACTTTACTTTACATTTATGTATCACTCTATAAATGTGTATGCCCACTTGATATGACTCATTTTCACTCTGACGCTTTGGAGAACGGACGACCCATTCCTCCCAAAACACAGCCAATTCTGTGCCTTTCCATTTCTGAGAGCTTTCACCTCTTGTCTCCGATACTAATGGAAGGCTCCTCCAATGAACGTCTTGATTTTGGGAAGATGGGTTATGGGTAATTATCTCTTTTATCTATATGTCCATGTCTATCTGCAGTCTACATATCAATCCCTATTAATACAACATGAATTCACAGGCTTTTTGATATTGGGGGTTTTGTTTTGTTTTGTTTGGTGAAAAAAAGATCATTTTTGGATAGGCATGCTTATGATTGAATTTGTTTTTTTTGACTCGTTATTGTTGAATTCAGCTTTATCTGACGGGTAGTATGGATCTTGATATTTTATTTTGTGGGTATCTGATAGATGCAAGCATTATAGAAGAAGATGCAAGATTAGAGCTCCTTGCTGTAACGAGATGTATGATTGTCGTCATTGTCATAATGAGGCCACGGTATTTTTTATTACTTTCGTTACCTAATCTTTCCACTTTACCCGAAATTATATGTCCATGGACCTCTTTTTCGATCAGGGTTTTTGCTTCTTTCATTTGTTTGTACTTTTGTAGCATGCTTTGCTACCCCTTTGATTCGCATAAGCTCAGTTCCACGCTTTTTTGTCTACTTTTAGATTAATGTATGTGACCATGTTTGTTTCTGATTTGGGTATATGTTAATTTATCTTTCTTGGAATCTTTAGAGCTTGTTGAGCAACCATGGTGATCGNTTATATCAGATTCATATCTGAATCATACTAATTCGTTTAAAATATACGAATTAATCAGATCAAAATCAAATTGACTTGATTTTGACATAATTTTTTTTGTATTTAAACGTATTAACTCATTTTAACTCATTGACTTGTTTAATTTCATGTTAAACCTACTAATTTTGTATTCAATTCATGCCACGTTGAAAATTAATAGCCCCACACATCTCCGTATCCTCCCTCCCCCCTCTCTCCCCCATGACTATAATTATTACTATTTATTATTTTTAGTCATAGGTGTCTGGATTACTTTACTTTACATTTATGTATCACTCTATAAATGTGTATGCCCACTTGATATGACTCATTTTCACTCTGACGCTTTGGAGAACGGACGACCCATTCCTCCCAAAACACAGCCAATTCTGTGCCTTTCCATTTCTGAGAGCTTTCACCTCTTGTCTCCGATACTAATGGAAGGCTCCTCCAATGAACGTCTTGATTTTGGGAAGATGGGTTATGGGTAATTATCTCTTTTATCTATATGTCCATGTCTATCTGCAGTCTACATATCAATCCCTATTAATACAACATGAATTCACAGGCTTTTTGATATTGGGGGTTTTGTTTTGTTTTGTTTGGTGAAAAAAAGATCATTTTTGGATAGGCATGCTTATGATTGAATTTGTTTTTTTTTGACTCGTTATTGTTGAATTCAGCTTTATCTGACGGGTAGTATGGATCTTGATATTTTATTTTGTGGGTATCTGATAGATGCAAGCATTATAGAAGAAGATGCAAGATTAGAGCTCCTTGCTGTAACGAGATGTATGATTGTCGTCATTGTCATAATGAGGCCACGGTATTTTTTATTACTTTCGTTACCTAATCTTTCCACTTTACCCGAAATTATATGTCCATGGACCTCTTTTTCGATCAGGGTTTTTGCTTCTTTCATTTGTTTGTACTTTTGTAGCATGCTTTGCTACCCCTTTGATTCGCATAAGACCATGTTTGTTTCTGATTTGGGTATATGTTAATTTATCTTTCTTGGAATCTTTAGAGCTTGTTGAGCAACCATGGTGATCGGCACGAACTTGTTCGGTTTGATGTTAAGCAAGTATGTCTTAATCATGGATCTTTCTCCGTCACTATCCTTTTCTCATTGTCATTCATTGTCTTGGCTCTGTTATTTGTATTGAAATTTGTCTTTTGCATTGATTTTTCAGGTTATTTGTGCAGTGTGCGACACAGAGCAGCCGGTATGTGTCTCTTGACTTGATACATCGTTGCTCTTTTCACTATTAATGTTCCTTCTTGTTTCATGGATAATTTTCTTGCTTTTATCCAGGTTGCTCGTGTCTGTACTAACTGCGGTGTCAGTATGGGAGCATATTTCTGTGAATTGTGCAAATTCTACGATGATGATGTAATTAAACTTGGACACCTTGTTATCTACTGAAGATGAATTTAAAAAGAGAATAATTTATGCACGTTTGCTTCTTTAGGGATGTTAATCTATCACCCTTTTAGTCTGATATGANATTGACTTGTTTAATTTCATGTTAAACCTACTAATTTTGTATTCAATTCATGCCACGTTGAAAATTAATAGCCCCACACATCTCCGTATCCTCCCTCCCCCCTCTCTCCCCCATGACTATAATTATTACTATTTATTATTTTTAGTCATAGGTGTCTGGATTACTTTACTTTACATTTATGTATCACTCTATAAATGTGTATGCCCACTTGATATGACTCATTTTCACTCTGACGCTTTGGAGAACGGACGACCCATTCCTCCCAAAACACAGCCAATTCTGTGCCTTTCCATTTCTGAGAGCTTTCACCTCTTGTCTCCGATACTAATGGAAGGCTCCTCCAATGAACGTCTTGATTTTGGGAAGATGGGTTATGGGTAATTATCTCTTTTATCTATATGTCCATGTCTATCTGCAGTCTACATATCAATCCCTATTAATACAACATGAATTCACAGGCTTTTTGATATTGGGGGTTTTGTTTTGTTTTGTTTGGTGAAAAAAAGATCATTTTTGGATAGGCATGCTTATGATTGAATTTGTTTTTTTTGACTCGTTATTGTTGAATTCAGCTTTATCTGACGGGTAGTATGGATCTTGATATTTTATTTTGTGGGTATCTGATAGATGCAAGCATTATAGAAGAAGATGCAAGATTAGAGCTCCTTGCTGTAACGAGATGTATGATTGTCGTCATTGTCATAATGAGGCCACGGTATTTTTTATTACTTTCGTTGCCTAATCTTTCCACTTTACCCGAAATTATATGTCCATGGACCTCTTTTTCGATCAGGGTTTTTGCTTCTTTCATTTGTTTGTACTTTTGTAGCATGCTTTGCTACCCCTTTGATTCGCATAAGACCATGTTTGTTTCTGATTTGGGTATATGTTAATTTATCTTTCTTGGAATCTTTAGAGCTTGTTGAGCAACCATGGTGATCGGCACGAACTTGTTCGGTTTGATGTTAAGCAAGTATGTCTTAATCATGGATCTTTCTCCGTCACTATCCTTTTCTCATTGTCATTCATTGTCTTGGCTCTGTTATTTGTATTGAAATTTGTCTTTTGCATTGATTTTTCAGGTTATTTGTGCAGTGTGCGACACAGAGCAGCCGGTATGTGTCTCTTGACTTGATACATCGTTGCTCTTTTCACTATTAATGTTCCTTCTTGTTTCATGGATATTTTTCTTGCTTTTATCCAGGTTGCTCGTGTCTGTACTAACTGCGGTGTCAGTATGGGAGCATATTTCTGTGAATTGTGCAAATTCTACGATGATGATGTAATTAAACTTGGACACCTTGTTATCTACTGAAGATGAATTTAAAAAGAGAATAATTTATGCACGTTTGCTTCTTTAGGGATGTTAATCTATCACCCTTTTAGTCTGATATGAGATAGAATAATGTCTAAAGGATTTTACTGTCAGTTTTTCGGTTTCCTAGTGCTTACTGCTGTACTTACTCATTGCAGATCGACAAAGGGCAGTTCCATTGTGACGACTGTGGGATTTGCCGGTTAGTGAATAGTGATAAGTGTGAGAGCTGAGTAGTTTTTTCCTACCCTTGCAGAGTCTTGTTTTGGAGTATTCTGATCTGAGTTGTCCCCTTTTTTCCCAGGGTTGGTGGTCGTGAGAACTTCTTCCACTGCAAAAAATGTGGTATGCAATCTCTCTTTGCTATTGGTGCGACTAGATACTCATCATGCCTTTATTTTTATTTTTTTTGACTTTGCTTTACACGAGTGGCAAAAACAATGGCTATTTGTTGTCGATCCATTTGTTTGATGCCAGTGGCTGTTAAACTTTCGAAGCAACTGATAGTCATTGATTCAGCAGCTAAAAAAATTGTTAAATTTGTTGTTAGTTTTCTGGTGAATTGTAGAAGAAATAGGTCCTGCTCACCAGTGCAATAGATGAGTGTGCTGTTAGCCTGTTATGCACTCTTAGTGTTTCAAAAAGCTTTTACAGGCATNGGTCCTGCTCACCAGTGCAATAGATGAGTGTGCTGTTAGCCTGTTATGCACTCTTATTGTTTCAAAAAGCTTGTACAGGCGTTTTACTCTGATTTTGTTGCTATTTTTGTTTTCCAGTTTCGATAATAGAATTACTTTACTGTTCTAATAATTCTCACTCGTTCGTATAATCTTCCAAGATAAACTATCAAGTGACTCGGTTTCCTTTCCCATTCTCTGAACATGATATAATTTGGGTAATGTGAGGAAAAATTAGTTCTTGATATGGGTCTTGCAGACCCCACCTTCTGGCATTAGGGTGTTATACTGGTATCACTGCTGAATTAGCACATAACATTGTATAAATTGGGGTGCATCACTGTACTATTTATGGAATGGAGAGCAACAGTCTTCTTACNTCTTGATATGGGTCTTGCAGACCCCACCTTCTGGCATTAGGGTGTTATACTGGTATAACTACTGAATTAGCACATAACATTGTATAAATTGGGGTGCATCACTGTACTATTTATGGAATGGAGAGCAACAGTCTTCTTGCATAGGAATGCCAATGGTCCCAGCAGTGGGAAGGTTCGAACTTTACATCAAAATATACATGTAATGTTTACTATTTTGATTTCTCCCTCTTTTGGTTCAAGTTTCCAGAAACTTGTAGAACAGAGGATGTTATCCCTTTAATTCCCTGAGATTGGGAATGTCTCAACTTTTTGCTTGTGTTTGTGAAATATTGGGGATTATGGCCAATGCTCTCCACCTTTCTTCACGAGCTACGTAGTTAGATTTCAGCTGTTTTAGTTTGTTAGTTTCATAAGTGGGCACTTTTTAAATACTTGAGCCACATTGCCTATTGGACTTTTGGGCAGTTTTGCCAATCCCAGTAAAGCCTCATCTCATTTTGAAAATCCCTCTTTCAATTTCAATACTTACTCACTCTTATCTGCTGCTTTATGCTTGAAACATATTTTTTGTTTTACACATAGGTATCGCTTTTGCATTTATGCTGCTCTATTGATGTTGTTACTTGCACAGGCTCTTGCTATTCTGTAAGTTTGCGCAATAATCATTTTTGTGTGGAAAACTCTATGCGGCATCACTGTCCCATATGTTATGAGGTTTGCTTCCTAACTTGCTAGTTTTTTTGGTGTTTCCAAAAAAAATGAAAATAAAAATGAAAAGTTCACAACTTGTAACACTAGCATGTTTCATTATGCAGTATCTTTTTGACTCGATGAAAGACACTACTGTTATGAAATGTGGGCACACGATGCATTGTGAATGTTACAATGAGATGATGAAGCATGACAAGTAAGCACTCATATCTCCTTGAAAGTATTGCATTTGCCCCTAGTTTCAAATGTGAGTTGGAAAAAAGATGTTTAGGGATTTTCTAACATGCTTTGATTATGTCAATCAGATACTGCTGTCCTATATGCTCGAGGTCAGTAATCGACATGTCTGGAACATGGAAGAGAATAGATGAGGAGGTGGGTTATTGAACTGAACCTAATATAAGAATTGGTGGTTGCTGATGTACTCTACTTTGGAAAAATGATCATCTTTACCTGCTTGCTGTTGATAACATTCCCAAGATCATTTGGTCACTCCTTAACCTGTTGTGACATATATATTTAGAGTTAATTTTCACATTAAGGTTATTTTGGGTGAGTGATTAATTTTTCTGTTTGTTTTTGTGGTTAAACCGATGATGAATTTGCTTTAAGTTGTAAAAATTTTTTTTTTTTTTTTTTTTTTCAGATTGAGGCAACCATCATGCCTGAGGATTATAGATATAAGAAGGTACTTCCATTTCATCTTTGTTAATATCTGTCAAACTGGTGCCACTTTATGAGGATGGGGGAGGGGTAGAAAAACAGAGGGAGGGATGGAAAAGAGAAGTGTGGTTCATATGTGACAAAAACACTTCTCTCATGTGGAGGCTTGATGGGAATGGTAACAGTGTTGGAAATTAGGACTGAATCGGGTCAAGTGGTGATTCAGCCATATCATTTACAGCCCACTGAAGTCTATTAGGATCCATCCTACCATTTTACAATCGATCCCAATTTTTTTGAACCTTGTTGATTCATAACTTTGACATGTTTGAGTTGTAACTTGACACCCTGATTGAGTCATGAATGTCGATATAGTACCAATTCGGTAATGCAAACGCTCTCTTTTTTTTGTGAATAACTAGAGTGTTTCTACTCCCGTTTTAGCTGTCAATTCATTGTCTACTGACTAGTTCTAAATGCTTTAACCCACTCAAACACATCTGAGAAGCATGACTTTTTTTACAGGTTTGGATCCTATGTAATGACTGTAGTGACACCACTGAAGTTTATTTCCACATAATCGGCCAGAAATGCAGCCATTGCAAATCATACAATACCCGCTCAATAGCCCCTCCTGTTCTTCCACAATGACCAGGCTACAATTCTATGGAGATACATACTTGGGTAGGTTCATAGAAAGGGAGTTTCCTGACCATAAAACACAGGAGAGAACTTTCTTGTTGCATCTTCTCAATGGTATCCTCTTTTAATGATGATTTGCTCCCATTACATTATAATTCAAACAACTAAACACTTATGTGTGCCTCAGAAACCTTTTTCTGGTTATTCTTCCACCAAATGCATGGATTAAAAACCTTTGGCAAATGACTCTTCATCAATGTGTACACTGTATATTCCTTGTAATGGTATTGTAACTTCAGTTTGAGTGCGGACCTTGATGCAGTTATTATGATATGGGCGTTTTGGGTTTGCGACTATCTGCATGCAAGGTAAGGNGTTTGAGTGCGGACCTTGATGCAGTTATTATGATATGGGCGTTTTGGGTTTGCGACATGAAAGCATCCTATCTGCATGCAAGGTAAAGTTGTGTACATTGATCCTCTTCAGATATGGCAGCACTGATTTGCAGGCAAGTTATCAAACACATTGCACACCTTGTTTCATCGGACATGTGAGTTCCATTGGTAGCCGATGACTCCTACGGCGGCGGCTCTATTGCCGGAAAAGAGCAATCCCACCTTCATTAGGTCAAAGATGATCATCAGTGGGAAACCTTTCTTTCCACCCAGGTTTGCCAATATCAGGAGCAATGAGATGGCTGCATATGACCATGCTATAACATTTGCCACCACAAAGTACCAAGCAATAAAGAGGCTGGAGAGTTAGAATTCTCTCTTAGCCAAGTTTTTGTGTGTGTGTGTGTGAGAGAGAGAGAGAGAGATAGGGTGGGGGGGAGGATATTAGGTAATTATTTGAAAGAGTAAAAGCTATTTGCACTCAACTTGGAGATCTAATCAATTGAATTTTTTTTTTATATTTGTTTTGGGGGGAGGGGAATGGGGAGGAAAAATTAAACCCTTGACCTTAAAAAAATAAAATTTTTACAAGATAAGCAGTATCATTGAATCAAAGGTCCGTTAGTCTAATTTGTTGAATTAAAAATGGATTTTGTCAAAATATAAAATTCACAATGACTAAAATAAATTAAATTCACAAACCAAAACATGAACCAAACCATCTAATATTTTTTAATAAAAGTGGACTAGGAGATTTTATATATCAATTATTAAATGGGTTGGAGGGTGACAAACCGATTAAGGTATTTCATTCAAAAATAACTCGTTTATTAGGTGGGTCTAATGTATCTATCGGTCTATTATCCAAATTCATTAAAATCAAACTTAAACTCGTTAATTTAATATTGATTCGTGTCAGATAATCAGATCGTGTTGGANTGAATCAAAGGCCCGTTAGTCTAATTTGTTGAATTAAAAATGGATTTTGTCAAAATATAAAATTCACAATGACTAAAATAAATTAAATTCACAAACCAAAACATGAACCAAACCATCTAATATTTTTTAATAAAAGTGGACTAGGAGATTTTATATATCAATTATTAAATGGGTTGGAGGGTGACAAACCGATTAAGGTATTTCATTCAAAAACAACTCGTTTATTAGGTGGGTCTAATGTATCTACCGGTCTATTATCCAAATTCATTAAAATCAAACTTAAATTTGTTAATTTAATATTGATTCGTGTCAGATAATCAGATCGTGTTGAATACTGTTAAACTAAATTGATTCGTAACTTCACAAATAGGCATCATAATTTCATACATATTTAACAACCAGTATATAGGCATATCTTAAGTAGACCATGTTTAGTTGATGTCCTATTTTTGGATCGTGTCACTGTGTTTTAATCATTAAATTAAAATTTTAAATTATGTCCTAATAACATTGCTCTTTGCTAAATTAATTGGCCAAAACCTAGTTCCAAAAAAAAAAAGATCGAGAGGTCAAAACGCCACCCTCCAAACGAAGGAACAAAACAAAGCATAAGACTGTATAAGAACTTTATAAAATATAAAAACTTTATACAATGATACTTCAATTATGAAAAATAATAAATATGATACCGAAAAATATTCTTTTGATTATTAGAATTAGACCCCAAAATGAAATAGAATCACTANTGTTTAGATGATGTCCTATTTTTGGATCGTGTCACTGTGTTTTAATCATTAAATTAAAATTTTAAATTATGTCCTAATAACATTGCTCTTTGCTAAATTAATTGGCCAAAACCTAGTTCCAAAAAAAAAAAGATCGAGAGGTCAAAACGCCACCCTCCAAACGAAGGAACAAATCAAAGCATAAGACTGTTTAAGAACTTTATAAAATATAAAAACTTTATACAATGATACTTCAATTATGAAAAATAATAAATATGATACCAAAAAATATTCTTTTGATTATTAGAATTAGACCCCAAAATGAAATAGAATCACCAGGGATAATCCATTAAATAATTTCACATCATTATTCTTTAGGTTTGTGAACGAAGGGTCACAATTGCATAGTTTAGGGGTGAAATTGAAATAAAATATAAATTAGGGACTTAATAAATATAAATGGTATAATTATAAAGTTTCGTTAAAATTAAACTCGAAATCGATTTACTTTCCAAAACTACAACCTCGCTCTTTCTCTCACTCACTCACAGTTTATAAATATGAATGCTTCACGCACAATATATCGGGTACACACAACTGTCTGCTTCTCTTTGCGCTGTTACCGTAAATACCACCAAGAAATTATATTTTGTGTATGTTTTATATATTGGGTTCACCGGCAATATTAATATCNTCACACACAATATATCGGGTACACACAACTGTCTGCTTCTCTTTGCGCTGTTACCGTAAATATCACCAAGAAATTATATTTTGTGTATGTTTTATATATTGGGTTCACCGGCAATATTAATAACGTTGATTTAAAATAGCACAAAATTAAGATTGGGTACTCTTTTTATGTCTTTTTTTATCTCTCTAATTTTTAGTTTACTTTTATTAATTTAATACTTATGTCTGATTGGGATCTAGCAGTTTGATTTTGATTTTATTTTTTTTATCCATTTACTTATTTTGTTTAAACTATATATTTTTTTTAAAAGCCAACCAGTGTAGGTGGGGGATTTGACATGATTCCAATATGTATATATAACTAAAAAGAAAAAAGTTTAAGAGAGGACGACATAAAGCTAAGCCTCCATAAGTGGAAGAAAGTCAAAGCAAAAGTAAGGTGGTGACTTACCACAAAAAGCAGAAAAAATAAATACATAGAAAAATANTTTTATTAATTTAATACTTATGTCTGATTGGGATCTAGCAGTTTGATTTTGATTTTTTTTTTTTTTATCCATTTACTTATTTTGTTTAAACTATATATTTTTTTTTCAAAGCCAACCAGTGTAGGTGGGGGATTTGGCATGACTCCAATATGTATATATAACTAAAAAGAAAAAAGTATAAGAGAGGACGACATAAAGCTAAGCCTCCATAAGTGGAAGAAAGTCAAAGCAAAAGTAAGGTGGTGACTTACCACAAAAAACAGAAAAAATAAATAAATAGAAAAGCAAAGTGGGGAATTTCCACAAAACAAAATAAATAAAAACATCAATGAAAATAAAAACTCAACGATGAACATGAGTAGTTTGTCGAGCATCCAAGGCGAGGATGCCAGCAATCCCAGAAGGAAGGGATGATGAATCAGGGAATCGCCGATTGAGCTGTTGAGAGCAAGCCCAATTAGCCATGAAGTTTGTAGCCTGATTCACCTCCTGTAGGACGTGGCAGATGCAAGCTGAGAGAGAAGCACACAAAAGCCTAATCCGAGCAAGTAGGTAAACATAAATCCAGCACCCAGTACCCTGAGAAGAGACCCAAGAAACCACTGTAGCTAAATTTGACTCCATTACCAACTCAGAAGCTCCTAAATCTATAGTTAACTCCAAACCAGCACAAACAGCTTGTAACCCCACATACAAAATAGACTGATGACTCAGAAACAAACCAAAAGCTCTGAGTACCCGACCCTGATGGTTCTGAATAACACTTCCTGTCGTAGACAGCCCCGGACTACTTTTAGAACAATCGTCAACGCTGATCTTCAGGCAACCTATTACTGGACGAGACTAAGCAACCAAGTGAAGAGGTCGAGGCCAAGGAACCAAGACCCTAAGAGAACCTACAAACTCAACCGACTCATCCCGACGCAAACTGACTCGGAAAAAACCCAAAAGCAAGCCCAACTAACTGTATATCGGCCATAACCCGCTGAATCACAATGGGCATATGAAAGGCCTGACCATCAAATCTATAAGCATTACGTGTCTTCCTTAAGTGCCACAGAATGAAGCACGGTAGCAGTACCCGCACGTGACCTGCAGAAGGAGCACAACATCGCCAATAAAACATCAAAGTATAAGGAGACTGAAACAGCCAACATCTGATTTCAAACATCTGATAAAAGTGACCCCACACCTGAACTGTAAGCAGNACGTGTCTTCCTTAAGTGCCACAGAATGAAGCACGGTAGCAGTACCCGCACGTGACCTGCAGAAGGAGCACAACGTCGCCAATAAAACATCAAAGTATAAGGAGACTAAAACAACCAACATCTGATCTCAAACATCTGATAAAAGTGACCCCACACCTGAACTGTAAGCAGACAATCCAGAAAAAGATGCCTAAGAGTCTCAACAGTCGCACCACACACACATCAAGATACTACATGGAAACCTCGTCTCTCTAAGCCATCATCTGTAGCCAAGAAACCATGAAACAACAGCCACATAAAGAAGGAGATCTGAGTCAGAATATGCCTCTGTTAGACACAAGAAAACCCAGTCTGAACTGGAGCCACACCTCGAATATCAGCCCAAGCAGTTCTTAAGAAAAAATCCCCATCCAAAGACAACCTTCACCCCATCTGATCACCCCCTAATCCAAAATCGAAATCTGCACAATTTTCTCAACAATTGAAGAAGGTAAAACCCCCAACAATCGGCCTCTGTCTCATTATCGACCTGCCCAGTAAGCAGAAACAGAACTCCAGAAGCTGCCCCCGAATACACTAAAGCCAATGGGTAATCCTCCAACCAACAATTATACCAAAAACTAACCTCATCTAACCGTACTAACCATCTGATCCTCGGCTCAGCCACAAATCGAATCCCACACAATCACCTCCAAAGAGGTAAAATTGGTAACAAAACTCAATTAGCCCAGGATGGGCGGACAAATTNATCCTCGACTCAGCCACAAATCGAATCCCACACAATCACCTCCAAAGAGGTAAAATTGGTAACAAAACTCAATTAGCCCAGGATGGGCGGACAAATTTTGTTTAAACTATATTTGTTGTAATTGCTTCTCTATGAATATAGGTTGGATTTAGATTGTTAGAGCATGGAGTTTTAGAGGAGGAGGTGGTTTGATATGGGTGAAATTAGGGTAGCGGAGGAGGTGGTTTGATATGGGTGAAATTAGGGTAGCCAAAAAATGGTCGATTTCTTTATTCAATAATTTTGTTTTACCCATCTCTCTTTTGCTATGGGTGGGGTTATGAGGTTTTACATATTGTAATTGAGTTTTTCCTTCTTTTAATTTGCTTTTATTCATCACTTAGTTACTAAAATTTGTTAACTTTTAATATCTTTATGTGTTTTGTAGTATAAATTCTTTCGCTATTGATGTTGCTTTTATAAATTATTGATTCTGGGTTTCTTAATTCTTCTCTATTAATTTCTTTGTTTAATATTTTTACAAATATTTTTTTTTTGTCTTTTGAGTGTTTTTAGTGTGCTCAAGAACAAGATTTCTGCTCTCGCCTCTAAGAAGGAGATTGAATTGTGTGTAAGGTATGTATTTAGAACAATTCTAGAAAATCCTGAAACACTTTTGAACTTCGCTTTGTTTTAATGTAGGATTGAATAATTTTAAGGAGATCACGACCATAAGTTAGGTTTTTATATTATGCTAGTTAATAAGTACGAATTAGGANAACAATTCTAGAAAATCCTGAAACACTTTTGAACTTCGCTTTGTTTTAATGTAGGATTGAATAATTTGAAGGAGATCACGGCCATAAGTTAGGTTTTTATATTATACTAGTTAATAAGTACTAATTAGAACTCAACCCTTTATATAGACTTTGGCCAATATATTTGTGTTTCTAAAATATTCTAAATAGGTATCCACATATTTATCGTATATAAAATCATATATATATTTTTAAAAAATTTTACATTCCTTTTAAAGTGTTATAGGATATTCTTTCAAATAAAAATAAGAATTCTCACTCTAGAATGTTTTTGAACTTTTCAAAAGATTGACTTCCCGGCATTGTCGATCAATTAGAATGTGCTTTTAGCAATCCTCAACAAAAAACAAAAAAAAAATGTATTGTCCTGGGTCCACTGCATTGACACTATGTTTTAACCAAGTCATCCAGTTTCAATTGGTNTAGAATGTTTTTGAACTTTTCAAAAGATTGACTTCCCGGCATTGTCGATCAATTAGGATGTGCTTTTAGCAATCCTAAAAAAAAAACAAAAAAAAATGTGTTGTCCTGGGTCCACTGCATTGATACTATGTTTTAACCAAGTCATCCAGTTTCAATTGGTCTCTCACGTATAGATTTAACCCACCACAGAGTTCCTATTAATTTCGGACTAACCCCTCTAAATTGCGTTTCTACGATTCTACCCTACTGTTGTTAACCTTTGAAATGACGGTGACCTACGCCTAACTAACTCTCGGGAAAGTCTATGGTACCCTTTGTAGTACCGTACTAAAAATTATAAATTTTTAAGATTAAATTATAATTTTTTAATATTCAGGTTAGTTATCAGCTAAATTTGAGAACTCAAAATTGAATTTTTAATCCAAATATAAAAATTGAAGATCTTTTAGACTATTTTCTCTAAACTAATCTTACCGGNAAAATTATAAATTTTTAAGATTAAATTATAATTTTTTAATATTCAGGTTAGTTATCAGCTAAATTTGAGAACTCAAAATTGAATTTTTAATCCAGATATAAAAATTGAAGATCTTTTAGACTATTTTCTCTAAACTAATCTTACCGGGCTCCCAATACCCTCCTACCAAACAACTTCTTGAATTTTTAAAAGTAAGTAAAATCGAATTAATAAAGATTTAAATAAGAATTTAAATTTTCTCGTTCAAATTTAAATGGGAGTTTAAATTTAAATTGGGTCGGAGATAGGACTGTTAATCGAAGAAGTTCGAGTTGAGATCGAAAAACTTGTTTTTTAATCGAACTTAAAAAATTGTTCAAATTCGACTTGTTTAGGAAACGAGTCGAGTCTGAACGAGCTAAAAAACAAGTGGAATTCGAATATTTGTACATAAACGAGTCAAGCCTGTTGAGTTTGAGCCGAACTAATAGGTCTTGTTTTCTAAATGAAACTAAAAATTTATTCAAATTTAAGCTTATTTAGAAAATAAATAGAGTTTAAACGAGTCCAACTGAAAATTAAAATCGAGTAATACAATTTGATTAACAGCCCCACTCGGAGTTGCTTTCGAGTTTCCGCTCAATCTCAATTGTCATTGACTTAACATAAAGCCCAGGTGGCTCTGCCCCATTTTTTTAGGCACTCCCTGTTATTTTTCCTCAGTTTCCTTAGCTTTCTCGAGAAATTTCTTCCACTAGAAAATACGGAAACCGGCAAAACCCAAACATGAACCAATCAAAGCTCGTACAAATCTCAGTTCCAAACGATATTGCCGTGAAAATTGCATTATCGCTTCAGGTCCATTTTCAACTTTTTTTTTCTTTTATTCTTGTGATTTTTTGTACTTGAAATTGAGTGGTTTGATTATTTTTTTCTGAGTTGTGTAATGATTTGATTTTTGTGAAGGTTTCGGATGTGTGTTCTTTGGGTAGTTGCTCTCGGTATTGGAGGGAGCTTTGTGGATCTGATTGTTTGTGGGCAGCTCTGTATAGGGATCGATGGCTGACCCATGCATTGAATAGAGAGGAAGAACCTTCAAGCTCTGAGATTAATGCCCATGAGTTTGATCAAGTCTTCGACTCCACCTCGAAGGTCCTCTTTCTCTCTCTCGTCGCACACACACATATATAACCTGACCGCTTTATCCCTGGAAGGAATTGGAGCGACTTCATGGCGGATGAGGTCATAGCACTGCAAAATCAAACCAAAATTATGAAAATTTGATTATTTCAATTCAGTCTAAAAGACTTGGCCGGAGGATCAATGAAACTCTCTAGACGGGGATTGAGAAGTCAACTCCGGCAGAGAAATAAATGATTGACAAAAGTTAGAAAAATATATTTTTTAGAAGAATATTGAAGTTATTTTGACAATTTTTTTGGATATTTTTTTTATGCATATGTTTAATTGGACTTGGAATGAATCTGTTCTCCATCAAACTCTGGAAAGGTCGTTCTTCAAATCATATCCGCAGTATACCTAGAGGCATCTATATTTAAAATTCCTTCTTGATAATGAAACCCGGTATCTGGATGAGTTTCTTTAGCAACAACAATGAATTTCTTATTTAATTTCCAATCCAATTAAATAAGTGCAGCTTAGCAAAATCACTGGGTAAAATGTCCCACTGTTCAACGTGTTAGTTCGTTCTGTAAACAATACCCGAAGATAAAAATAATTTATTTTGCAGATCATCATGAAAGTGGTCTCAATACAAACACATTCTGTTGGTGGCATAGGGCTTTAGAAGTAAGCTTATATTGTAGCATGAATAAAACCCATTTTTTTTGCCCTTTTTGCTTAGAGTGATGGGTGTGAATGATAACTTAAGCAATTGATTTATAAAGGAGGGTGATGATTCGATTCTCATTGATGCAATTGTGCTTCCAATGCTAATATTGAAAATGGTGTGATATATGTCCCAGTGGTGCTGCAATATAGAGACCCCTTGTTTCCTTTTTCTTATTTGAACAATAGTTTTCCTTTGTCCCTTTCTTCTAACCTACAAAAAATTATTGATCAATAATTTAGATTTAGTTGGATGAAGGTGATGATGATTGTTATTATTATTATTTTTTTTGGTATGAAAAATTGCAGGTTTGGAGGGGCTTTTACATCAACAAGCACAATGAGATGGCGGGTAAAGCGGCCAGCATAGTTGATTTTGTAGAACAATCTTTGTCCTCTGAATCAATCAAGGTTGGTCACTATCTGACCGCAATTGAAAACCTGCGCTCGATGCAGTTTGGATTTAAAGATATCCAAATGTTCTTTTTAAAGCCAAAGCTCAATGTGCTGCTCAACTTAATTGGCGTGCACTACTGTATTAGCTGGCTTGGAGTATCGGTAATTAGAACGATAACAACCTCATCTATTTTCTTTGTTAAAAACTCTTCTTTTTTTTTTCCCTGATTATATTTACAAATTAGCTATATATTAAGGGCATATTTGCGAGCTGTGTTAAATGCCCACATGAGTATTTTACACCTGTGCTGTATTATTCTTATACCTTCCATGTATTTGACCTGCAAGCATATGTTGATAACTCAACAGGAGAATACTTTACTTTTTTAAGTTTCATAGTTGGCTGTCACATAGTAGGGACGGATAGAAACTTTACCTATTGATCAAGCAGTAGGTTAATTGACATGCATGTCTCTTTATATTGATCGGCTGAGAATTTGTATTCTGACGAATGTCTTAGAAGATTTTCAGCTTTCTTGCCTTCAAATAGTAGACTAGTAGATTCAAATTTGTGTTGTGAGAGAAATATGAGATACTCCATTATATCTTTTTGATAAGGAAGTTACATTCCTGGTACCATGAACTCATTCTGGGGAGAAAGTTATTCAAAAAATAAATGATTTTCATATTACATTATGTTAGGGATGAAAACAAACAAGTCAATAGTACTTTGCTTGAGCTAGGCTCATTAGTTGGCTTATTCAGCTTTATCAACAATTAATCAAAGTGTTTGCTGCTATGTCACAAGTTTTTTCTGAGGAAATGGTCTAGTGAAAATCAGAATATCAGCTTTAGTTTAGAGTTGTGAATGGGTACATTGTGTCTCATTAAATGTTGCATGCTGATGGGGATTAAATTTTGGAGTGCTGGACAAGCTTGATCTCCAAGTTAGCCTAGCTTTGGCTGGACTTGTTATGCCCTAATCAAGCTTGGCACAAACTTACTCTGAGTGCAGCCAAGAAAATCTTGGACAACCATACCCTAGTCCTCAGTTTGGGTGTGTTTGGTGTGTGTAGTTGGGTATCCATACTTTAGGTAAATATGACAAAAAGGGATTATAGAAGTGGAATGTGATTCCTGAGACTACCAACTATACATTCTATAGCATCTTAAGGAATCACAGAAAAATAATATGACTCTAGAAATTAAAGAAGAACAATGTTCATGGAGATATTGAGCTCATGCTTCTCCAATCATCCAGAGTGAGGGTGTAAGCTTGTATCTTTCCCTTTGTTCCTGGTTCAGAGNTAGAAATTAAAGAAGAACAATGTTCATGGAGATATTGAGCTCATGCTTCTCCAATCTTCCAGAGTGAGGGTGTAAGCTTGTATCTTTCCCTTTGTTCCTGGTTCAGAGCACCGTAGTGCCTTTCAAAAATTGGAATTCCTAGACTTCAACCTCGTCAACCAGAGTCTGTTAGGGAAATTATTATTTTCCCCTTTTTGATTCAAATAAGAAAACCATTATATATTCTTTATCTAGGACGTGGAGGCAGCCCAAACCCACATCTACCTTGGGGTAAATGATCTCATTTGCTCTACCGTCATCCTTGGAGATATTCTGCCACTTCTCTTTCTTTCTTAAATAGGACTGAATTGGAACTGCAACATGGGGATGGTTCAGGACTAAACAATGGCTCAATTTTCTTTAGTTATCCTCCAACAGAAGATGAGGTGCACAAATCTTAACTGACATGATAGGTGTGTTCAGATGTCAGAAGCTATGTCACGGAGGAAATATTTTTGTTTTCTATAATTCATGCTTACTCGCTTGGATTTTACATGAGCAGCATTCCTTATTTTGAGTTAAGGAGTACCTCAGATGCATGCTATTTGATGTTCAAAGTTATTGCTTGCAGGCTGAATGTGTCATGGAAGCACTGAGGTCCTACAAGATCTCAGAGCGGCAAGTATGTGTTCAATGGTGGAAGATTGGCAGGTGGCTTTATGGCTTTCGCCTGAGGGACGAGTCACACTCTCGTAACGTCTCGTTGGGAGATCTTACAATGGCCAAAGAGGAGGAAGTTCTTGCAGTGATTAATCGAGGCGCCATTTATGAGGTTTTATGTATTAAGATTTCTGCAGCGAAACCCACATCCACTTCTTGGTCATACCAAAACGGTCAGACTCTGGATTAGGAAAGGATTGTTTGTGATTGTGCATACAATGCCTTCATACCACTCTAGTGGTGATAGCCGGTAAATCATGTATATATATGCATCTATCTTGACGTGTACATATATGTATACCTATCTACATTCTGGTTCATCTCTAGCACACATTTCGTCGGTGTGTACATAAGCAAGCAAGCACCCAGAATTGCAGTTCATTGAGGGGCATTATATAAAATCGGTTGTATATATTATCTTGGTAATCTGCTAGGATTGGTGGGAGCTTGCTTTTACAATTAAAAGTTTGGCTTGTGGGTGTTGTAATGAAGTGCAATGGTAAGCAATTTTTGAGGGTGGCCTACAAAAGAAAGTTGCATCTGTGTCTTCATGGTCATTGTTTCAGCTTCTTCCCCATCTTCTCTTCTTTTTCTTTTTCTCTTTGTCATTCACTTCTATTCCAACATTATGATCCTCACTTTGCAGACCAAACATTATCAGATTCAGCTGCCTTCAACCCTCTTCTACCCCCTGCAACTATTTCGCTTTTTGATTCTTGTTCAAGGTTGTAGTATCTGCCATCAAATCGAAGGGCACTGAGATGCATTTGATCGTCGCATCGTAGAATAGTGTCTTGTGGTATGCACAAAAAGCTAGGTTAAAGAAGTTAGACAAATCAAAAGATGGAGACCAGACTGGAGTGTCATAGAATGATTAGTATCAACCAATCCTTTGAACCATTCCAAAAAAAAAACATAGCCGGATTTCTAATCCAACAAACAATGGCCTTCTATTTCTGTGATCTTTTGTTTTCTCCCACCATAAATCACATTGAGAAGAAATGGAAAACAAAATTACACATGGGTACAATACAGTATCTTGTTACAGTTGACAGGAAACAAATAGTTCTTCCACCATTTTTGAGACCATCGGAGCTGATCTTGTGTCAACGACATCGGTAGATGAAGACGGCTCGCTGTCGCTCTCGCTGTGTAGTGCAAATGAACATGAGCACAAGAGCAAGAACAATCACCATGAGAATTCCCTTGAGGTCCAAACTGCTGCCTTCATCTGCTTCTGGAGAACAGCAATTCCCCATCACCAGCAGTTAAAAGTCAACTTTTCTCTGTTTTCTTTGTTTTCCAGTGCAGTTTTTGGGCAAGAACACGAATTATAAGCTAGATGGAGATGGTTTTTGTTGCTTATCAGACAAGTTGACTAGGATTCATTCTTTGGGAAATTACACATTGACCCCCTCAATTATGATCTTTCTTTTACTTTATCCTTTCAACTATGTGATCAATTTCACACTGCTCCAATTATTAGCATCTGTTAAATATTTAACAAAAAATTATTTCATTTTATCCCTCGAATTATGTAATTTATTATACTTTGTCCCGACACGTTAACAATTTTTGTCCAAAAATATAACAAACAATTGCGATTGGGGCAATGAAAAATAATCAAAGTAATTGATGGGAAAATGTGAAAAATTAAATATTTGAGGAGACAAAGAAAAAGATCATAGTTGAAGAGGTCAGAATAAAATTTATTCTAATTCTTTCTTAGCAACTGAATCAGTTGGAAGCTTCCACTAACCATTTCTCAGTGTTATGTCATTTAATAAAAATTTGATAATATAACTTTTGATTGGTAGTATTTTTCGGGCCGAACTTGTTGACCCAGTTGCCTTGGCCTTGGGCTGGCCCTGCAAAGCTATGAGAAGTTGTATACAAGAGAACATTATTATTGTTGTTGAGTAAGCTTGGTAAGAAATAAGAGGGAAAGGGTCTTAACTTCCATCTAAAAGCACTAATGCTACAAAGACCAATGCGTCGAAAAAGAGTTTCAGTCATCTCAAAGTGATTTGATACTTGGCCCGATCCAGCGCGGTCCATTTTATGTCTACTATCTCTTGGTAATCTTTCATTATGTTTTGAATGCATGACCATCTTTTGGTCCTAAAAAATTTATTGTCATCTGATGGGCTTGGACTAGATCAGGCCTAAAATTACAGATCAAGTCTAAAATTGTAGACAAGGTCCAAACCACGAATGCAGACAAATAAAGGTCAGTTATAGTTTCAATTGGGTAAAAACCCACCTACTTGAAAAACCTAGTCCATCACCGGCACATATGGGAGTCTCCGTCCCAAAGGAAAGAATTTGTAGGGATGCAATCATCAGGGGCATATCACTAGTCTTGCAAAATTATCTCGCCCGTTACAAGGTAGGGCGAACTTTAAGAAATCACCCCACTATCACCTCGTTTGTTACAAGGATAGGGTGTGCTTCATAGAATCACCACGCTTCCTGTTTACGAGAATGGATCCTGTTTACGAGGATGGTGCCTCCGTTAGAGCCCCTCAAGGCTAACTTCACTTGCTTATACCTACACATATGGGTCATCACACACATCTCAGCACACTACGCTCCATGAATAATAAGATTCTCTAACCACCGTAGTCATTTTCAGTGGAGTAGGTCACTCAAACCGAACCACCTAATATTTATGTTTATTTGTGTTGAGCCCTCTTATGTTATCCTTGATTGATTTTGCATAATCATACTTTTGTGAATCATTATCATCTATTCTACATCAATATACAATAATATGATTGGTTGATCCCATCATATCACATGATCTTATAATCAAACAATGGAGTAGTCATGGAAAAGAGCATGTTCGACTCTTAACAATTCATTGAGACCAGAATATAAGAGATTTATCTCTAATGCATACTTTAGTCCTNGGAAAATGTGAAAAATTAAATATTTGAGGAGACAAAGAAAAAGATCATAGTTGAAGAGGTCAGAATAAAATTTATTCTAATTCTTTCTTAGCAACTGAATCAGTTGGAAGCTTCCACTAACCATTTCTCAGTGTTATGTCATTTAATAAAAATTTGATAATATAACTTTTGATTGGTAGTATTTTTCGGGCCGAACTTGTTGACCCAGTTGCCTTGGCCTTGGGCTGGCCCTGCAAAGCTATGAGAAGTTGTATACAAGAGAACATTATTATTGTTGTTGAGTAAGCTTGGTAAGAAATAAGAGGGAAAGGGTCTTAACTTCCATCTAAAAGCACTAATGCTACAAAGACCAATGCGTCGAAAAAGAGTTTCAGTCATCTCAAAGTGATTTGATACTTGGCCCGATCCAGCGCGGTCCATTTTATGTCTACTATCTCTTGGTAATCTTTCATTATGTTTTGAATGCATGACCATCTTTTGGTCCTAAAAAATTTATTGTCATCTGATGGGCTTGGACTAGATCAGGCCTAAAATTACAGATCAAGTCTAAAATTGTAGACAAGGTCCAAACCACGAATGCAGACAAATAAAGGTCAGTTATAGTTTCAATTGGGTAAAAACCCACCTACTTGAAAAACCTAGTCCATCACCGGCACATATGGGAGTCTCCGTCCCAAAGGAGAGAATTTGTAGGGATGCAATCATCAGGGGCATATCGCTAGTCTTGCAAAATTATCTCGCCCGTTACAAGGTAGGGCGAACTTTAAGAAATCACCCCACTATCACCTCGTTTGTTACAAGGATAGGGTGTGCTTCATAGAATCACCACGCTTCCTGTTTACGAGAATGGATCCTGTTTACGAGGATGGTGCCTCCGTTAGAGCCCCTCAAGGCTAACTTCACTTGCTTATACCTACACATATGGGTCATCACACACATCTCAGCACACTACGCTCCATGAATAATAAGATTCTCTAACCACCGTAGTCATTTTCAGTGGAGTAGGTCACTCAAACCGAACCACCTAATATTTATGTTTATTTGTGTTGAGCCCTCTTATGTTATCCTTGATTGATTTTGCATAATCATACTTTTGTGAATCATTATCATCTATTCTACATCAATATACAATAATATGATTGGTTGATCCCATCATATCACATGATCTTATAATCAAACAATGGAGTAGCCATGGAAAAGAGCATGTTCGACTCTTAACAATTCATTGAGACCAGAATATAAGAGATTTATCTCTGATGCATACTTTAGTCTTNAATAATCAAAGTAATTGATGGGAAAATGTGAAAAATTAAATATTTGAGGAGACAAAGAAAAAGATCATAGTTGAAGAGGTCAAAATAAAATTTATTCTAATTCTTTCTTAGCAACTGAATCAGTTGGAAGCTTCCACTGACCATTTCTCAGTGTTATGTCATTTAATAAAAATTTGATAATATAACTTTTGATTGGTAGTATTTTTCGGGCCGAACTTGTTGACCCAGTTGCCTTGGCCTTGGGCTGGCCCTGCAAAGCTATGAGAAGTTGTATACAAGAGAACATTATTATTGTTGTTGAGTAAGCTTGGTAAGAAATAAGAGGGAAAGGGTCTTAACTTCCATCTAAAAGCACTAATGCTACAAAGACCAATGCGTCGAAAAAGAGTTTCAGTCATCTCAAAGTGATTTGATACTTGGCCCGATCCAGCGCGGTCCATTTTATGTCTACTATCTCTTGGTAATCTTTCATTATGTTTTGAATGCATGACCATCTTTCTGTCCTAAAAAATTTATTGCCATCTGATGGGCTTGGACTAGATCAGGCCTAAAATTACAGATCAAGTCTAAAATTGTAGACAAGGTCCAAACCACAANTCTTGACATGAATAACATGCATTTGACCAGACCTGACAGGAAATTAATCGAGATGTCAATAAATTGACCCGAATATACCTGATCGTTAAATAAAAAAATATTTAAATAATCATGAGAACTAATAAAATTGGTCATTAGCTTTCCACTAAAGTTAAATAATTGAGAGGATTGATTGCTAAATGTCATGTGGGTTAATAACTCTTCTTTATAATTTTTTGTATTAAATTAAGTTTTTTAATAAAATATGAATTTAAATTTAAANTGCCTTCCTAATTTTCTTCTCATTGAATTTAGCAACACTAAAGTTACTACTAACACCATCTCCATCTTTTTTGAATGCACCAATTAACTTTAATTGAGATGTGTCCTTCTTATTCACACTCGTCAAATAGGATTTACAACGATCTAAATGATAAAATAAGGATGAAGTACCTATTTTTCTTGCATGATAATTGTAAATCTTACCACAATGCTGACATTGAGCTTCATCTGTAACTTCAATCTTTTCAAAATGCACCCAAACTCTAGATCGTTTTTTTTAAATCCTGTCCCTTACACTGAATGTCATCGGTAAGTAGAATGTTACTGTTAGAATCAGCTTGAGCAGATGATTGTGGAGTCATTTCATCCATAAAGAAATGATCTGTGAACAAAAACAAAATATGGAGATGGTATAAGAACCAAGAAATCCATCCCAGCAAGTATCAAGAAATCAGAATAAATTGAACCAAGCAAGTATCAGAATAAATTGAACCAAGAAATCCATCCAAGTATCAAGAAAATCGAATAAATTGAACCAAGCAAGTATCACAAAAAATTGAACTAAGCAAGTATCAGAATAAATTGAACCAAGAAATCCATCCCAGCAAGTATCAAGAAATCAATATCAAGAAATCAAGTATCAAGAAATCAGAATAAATCAGTATCAAGTATCAAGAACAGATCTCGTTCAATAAACTCATCCCAGCAAGTATCAAGAAATCAGCATCAAGTATCAAGTATCAAGTATCAAGTATCAAGAAATCAGAATAAAACTTCAACAATGTTGGACAAGGAATCCAACCATTTGTACAACAAAGAGAAAAATTTACAATAGTGATCAAGAATCTTAACACGATTGGACAAAACGTCAACCATGCACTGCAGTCCTACCTTTAGTAATAAAAAACAGTGGAATGTCCTGAAATTCTTAGGCAACAAATGACCATAGTTAAGAAATAAATTTTGCTCTTTCCCACAAGCACTCCTTATTTGCTAATCTGTCGCACAAAACTCTTGCAATTCTACCCAAAAAACCCAAAAAATAGCATGGATCTCCCAATCCATGCTTACCTCCTTAAACAACATAAGCACTGATTTTCGCTCAAAGGGGACANACAAATGACCATAGTTAAGAAATAAATTTTGCTCTTTCCCACAAGCACTCCTTATTTGCTAATCTGTCGCACAAAACTCTTGCAATTCTACCCAAAAAACCCAAAAAATAGCATGGATCTCCCAATCCATGCTTACCTCCTTAAACAACATAAGCACTGATTTTAGCTCAAAGGGGAAANAGAGAGAGAGATTGCTTGACAAAAAAAACACAGCAGCTATAGTGGTAAGGTCACAATTTCCAGCATCAATTCTGTCTCTAAAGCTAAACTTCTCATTCTCACAGTCAAAAGAATCACTACATATACCCATAAAATTCCTTTGATAGAAAAAGCAGATCAACTCAAATCTATTTTCCACTCTACATTTCCAACACAAATCCGGTAAGTTCATTCATTTTTCTCCCAAGTGGAATTCAACTTTGCAACTAAAATATCTGATCTCCAATTCCCCCCCAAAAAAAAAAGAATAACAATAAAGTTTGATTTGTTTAACTGTTTATCACCTTTTCCTTTATGGTTTCTTGCTTTGTTATAGCTCATTTTTGACCGCCGTAAATTGTGGGGCTATACTCTAAATCATTGCTGCTTCTACTTTGCCAGGCAAAAAAGCTAAGAGGGTTCTTGAATTGGTGTATATTCGCTGTTTTAATCGGACCCATTTGCTTCATTGCTTTGAAATATCATTGTGTTTACGTGATTTGATTTGTATGTGGAATGGTTTGATCTGGGTAGAGTTTAGTGTTCTGAATGAAGGACAAGAGTGGAGGATGTGACGAGAAATGAGGGTTAGAGTTAGGGTTAGGGTTTGGGAGAAATGGGTTGTGTGTTTGGAAGAGAGAGTTCTCCTTCTGGGCAGGCGCGGTCCGAGATCGTAGTGGAAAACCAGAGGGAAAAGGGGGGAGAGAGGGATTTGGCTGTGCCCTCGGTTAGGAGAGATAAAGTTGGGGCAGTAGCAAAGGCAGAGGGTGGTGGTGATGAGGTTCAGAATGGTGGGGATCAGAAGGAGGAGCAAAAGGATGGAAGTGTACGGCCTAGGGGTGAGAGGAGGCGATCCAAGCCGAATCCAAGGCTAAGTAATCCGCCCAAGCATGTGCACGGTGAGCAAGTGGCTGCCGGATGGCCATCCTGGCTCTCCGCGGTTGCTGGAGAGGCAATCAACGGGTGGACCCCTCGTCGAGCAGATACATATGAAAAACTCAATAAGGCAAGTTATAGTTTAGTTAAGCATCCAGTTTTGATATGTTTAATTGATTTATTGTCTTATTCATTGTTGTATGCTTCTGTATTTTTTTTGATTAGATTGGACAAGGTACATATAGTAATGTGTACAAAGCTAGGGATGCTATAACGGGAAAAATTGTTGCATTGAAGAAGGTCCGATTTGACAATTTAGAGCCTGAGAGTGTCAAATTTATGGCTAGGGAGATTTTGATTTTGCGTCGCTTGGATCATCCTAATGTTGTAAAACTAGAAGGTTTAGTGACATCAAGGATGTCATGTAGCTTGTACCTTGTCTTCGAATATATGGAGCATGATTTGGCTGGATTGGCTGCCAGTCCGGGAATCAAATTTACCGAACCTCAGGTTAGATTCTGTCTGTTTTAGTTCTGGAAATATCTTGCTGCCAAGTGTTCAAAAGGAGTTGGTTTCTTACTTTTTGTATCTATGAATGTGGTAGGTCAAGTGTTACATGCATCAGCTACTGTCAGGTCTTGAACACTGTCACACCCACCATGTGTTGCATCGTGATATCAAGGGGTCAAATCTTCTTATTGATAATGGGGGTGTACTTAAGATTGCTGATTTCGGGTTGGCTTCCTTCTTTGACCCTCATCACAAGCAGCCAATGACTAGTCGGGTGGTTACTCTATGGTATAGACCGCCAGAGCTTCTTCTTGGGGCAACTGACTATGGTGTAGGGGTGGACCTCTGGAGTGCTGGTTGCATTTTAGCAGAGTTGTTGGCTGGGAAGCCTATTATGCCTGGTCGCACAGAGGTAACTTCCCAACTTACTGAATTGTTTTGTAAGTTATTCTTTTCCATCGCTCGATAACTTTTTGATGTTTGGTGTGGTGATTTAAAACTATATCCTATTTAGATGTGTGGTTTTATATATGCTTACCTTTCCACCTCTGGTTAATTGATGAACATAGTAACCTGAAGGAAATGATAGTTTGTGTTCCATATATGACCAAGCAGATGCGTTAATGTTCTGAAATAATGAATGCATTAAAGAGACGCAATTATGCTGCTGTATGGGGCCATGTGTCATTTTGATTGTTGCATAAGCAAGAATACGTGATGTTAGCCTTACTGTAATAATTTGATACAGAGAGGCTGTAGTCAACTCAGAGTGTAACTGAATTGATGAGTTCCTTTGCTGTCTTAATTGCCATTTTTATGTGTTTTATGTTGCTTAGGTGGAACAGCTACACAAGATATTCAAGCTATGTGGTTCTCCTTCAGAAGAATATTGGAAGAAGTCAAAGCTGCCACATGCAACCATATTCAAGCCCCAGCATTCTTACAAACGATGCATAGCAGAGACATTTAAAGATTTCCCACCTTCATCACTGCCACTAATTGAGACTCTTCTTGCAATTGATCCTGCTGAACGTCAAACTGCCACAGCTGCATTAAGCAGTGAAGTGAGCTTTTACATTTTAATAACAGTTTGATATTCTTTATGTCAGTCACCTCTCATCAATAATTGCCGGTGCACTATAAGTTCTAATGGCTGGTTTCTGTAAGCTATTTCTCTGTTTAAGTATACAGATAATAAATGTTATAACTTATTTAGGCAAAAGTACTGATGAAGATATAGAAAGAGGTTTGTTCCATAGTATACAACTGGCAAATTTTATACACAAATAGCATAAGGTGGGAAGCAATGAATTAGTCCTTTACCATGAAGATCGAACTCGATGCTACTCTTTTAGGTACAGTGTCTGCCTTTTCGCTAATGAAATGGCAGTTTTAGGAAATCCTACAGGGATCTAGATCCCCTTCGATACTTCTTTCCTTCATTTCTCTTCTTGGTAGATCACCTACCATGTATTGGTCAGAGACCCACATATATATAATGGGTCCCACTTGAATTCAGGTGATCAACCAAAGAGGGCAATGGAGGAAAAACGTATTCGAGGACATCTCACTCCCTCCTATGAAAGCAAATTCCAGAGTTCTAGGTGGATCGATCAGCTAGTTTGTTATAGGGGAAAGAGTGAAATATTGAATCTGCTTTTGTATTATGGGAAGATTTTGAGGTCAAACTGCTAAATATTCGTAAGGGGAAGAATTTTTTTTATTTTTTTTTTACGAAAATAATGTTTATTAGGGCATCTTTCATTCCAATTGCTTGACTTTCTATTGAGATTGTTCTTCCGATCTCGGTTATGGATATAAGAAAGTTGCATTAACTTTATTAGGTGGCTTGAGGCTTGTCAACATCCTACTAGGCAAGTCTGATGGTCCTGTCAGTTTATATTTTCTGTTTTTCATTTGTTCCTTTTAATGTGTTCGTGACACGTAGTAAAATGAATATGGGAAAGGGTCAATGTGGATGCAATCCAAGGAAAGCTAATACTTAAAGTGATCTGACCAGCATAATGTTCTCTATGAATTTGTATGAAGAACTATGATGCATCATGCATGGCATTTGGTTTGTAGTTTCTCATCCAGTGTATTTTATTTGAGAGTTGTCACCATATTTGTCTTCCATTTTTCAGTTCTTCACAACCAAGCCCTATGCTTGTGAGCCTTCCAGCCTTCCAAAGTATCCTCCCAGCAAGGAGATGGATGCTAAACTAAGAGATGAAGAAGCTAGAAGGTGTGTGGATCATTTATGTTTTGAATGTATATACCTTGAAGTCCCAACTGATTTTTAGAACAAATTAATATGTCCTTTCCGTGGAACACCACTATTTAATACATATATTACACAATTCATAAAGTTTGAGAAGCAAATTTATTCGAATACTTGGAATTATAACTTTTCACTAATTGGAGATTGTGAATAAAAATGCATCACAAATATTAATTACAAGCAAAATTTCAATAGTTTTGTACGATTAAAAGTTTGGTTTTTGTATATTGAACCTATATTACTTTTTTAAACTATCAGCCACACCATTATTCATTTTTCTACTTTCTTAACCAAGATAAGAGGTTGGATGAATGCTTATATATTTGGTTTGTTATGTCATTCCGAAATAGTCTGAAGTAAGCTCTATGATTGTAGACTGAGAGCGGCTGGCAAAGCCAATGCTGATGGTGTGAAGAAAGCTCGTGCACGTCACCGAGCTGTAAGGGCATTCCCTGCTCCTGAAGCCAATGCTGAGCTGCAAGCGAATCTTGATGTATGTGAGATAAGACGTTTCTTTCAGTAACATTTATTCGTGATTTGGTCATTCTCAACAGCTAGAAATATGACTTTACAATATAGGTAGGAAAAAAAACTACCAGTTGGCCATTAATTTCACGCACAAGGTGTTACGTAGAACTCATGGTGGGCAGCTTGGATATGAAACAGAATTCATTGTCTTTCCTAAATGGGTTCTTCCTTTTATGATAACAATTTACTCTTCTAGATTGCCCATTGCAGCTGCCCTGTCAGTAAGGGAATTGGTGCAGCTCCATAAAAAGCTCTGCAATGTGCAACTCTTTGTTGAAACTTTTAGATAGCTGCACTTTTTAATGAGTATATGGTTGTCAATCTCTTCTTGACACAAATGTCAATTGAAAAAAAAATGTTTTGACTGGCTCATTAGGGAATATCATACATTGTATAGGTTTTTGGCCAAAGCTTTTCTTCATGTTGCTAACGAACATGTTGTGAGGAATTTGGGCAAGTCATTGCATATTAAGTAGGAGGCAAGCTTTATGTAATCTATTTAGGAGATTGAGCCATAAAGAGACTCTGTGTGAGAAGTCATGTTATTGTTTCCTTTTTTCGCTTTATAAAAAAAATCTTGTAATTGTTTTGGATAAGTAGGCAAAACTCCCCAGTAGTCATGGAAAAAATAGGTTGATGGAGCTTACTTTGAAAACATTTCTAAGCTGGTTTAGGCCTTAAAGAACATAGTTCTCTGCTCCTCCTGTGGCTGCAGGGGGGCAGGTGCAGGCAGGAGAAAAAATACCCCCCCGGCACCCACACAAGAAAAGGGAAAAAATGAACCACTATGACAAAGTAAATGAGTGACTTGGTTTGTTTATACAGTTTCTGGTCTAGTCAGTGATGGTTCTTGGTTGTATATTATCATGACTTCTGTCATCTCTTCATATGTCATGTTTGTTTATTTCCTGGATCAGAGGCGGCGTCTAATCACACATGCCAATGCAAAGAGCAAGAGTGAGAAGTTTCCTCCACCACACCAGGATGGAACACTTGGTTATCCTTTGGGATCTTCACATCACATTGATCCAACTTTTGATCCTCCTGATGTCCCATTCAGTTCCTCGAATTTCTCATATCCAAAAGCATCCATCCAAACTTGGTCTGGTCCATTATTGGACCCTGCTGATGTTGGTGCTCCAAGGAGGAAGTCAAAGCCCTCAAAGAAGGATTCGCACAAAGATAAGAATTCTGTTCGGACAAGAGAGAAAGAAGGCGTGTAATATAGTTATGGTTTATACATCTACGGGAGAATCCAAAAAGCTGCAAATATTGCCAGTTAGCCCTTCATATCCAAGCCGGCCTATGTTAAATTGCATGGAGAGAGGTAAAATATATTGTATTCCATATTTCTTGTTTCTACATTTTTTTTTCTTGGTGATGAGAAGCTTCTGAAGTATTGTATATGTCGATTTTTTTTTATCTTTTTATGTTCAAGATTTTATTTAGATTAGTTAAATTTTCTAATAAAACTCTCAGAACCTTTGCCTGTGTTAATTTTTGTGTGTAATTCTTATGATGCAGAAGCCATTTTAGAAACTCAATAAATTTCTATTCCTCTGGTTTTATCCTGGTTACAGTGCTTAGTCCATGTTTATGTATGGTATCTAACTGCACCATATTTTACTGCTTTTGAATTTAGTAAGGCTCTTTCTTATGATTCTGGCAGTTAATATGATTGAATGTTTTTCGATTGATTACAATGTCAATATTTAGGGGAGCAATCCCTCGCCATGTTTGACCTTAGAATCTATTACCAGAATGCAGTATTTTGCAAACATATTTGCCAATTTACGACATTTTTGAACTTATTTACCAAGTTATGACACTTCTTAAAAAACAAAGAACCCGTTTTAAGTTCAAATTGTGGGATGATATATTTTATCCGAGCATGACTTGTGTAACAGAACAGAAGGGTCTAACAGGTTCACTTGTTTATCACTTGAACTAGTCGAAGTCAAATTCAAACCTAAACCTGCTAATTTTGTGTCAATTCTTATCGGGGAATTGAGTCGCATTGCATTTTGTCAGACATACCTGGAAAAGTTGAAAACCAAAATGGATTTTGTTCATGCGGAAGTTGGCTGAAGTATATGGACACGGGCATAACAATAAGATTGCTCAATTGCAACGTAACATTAAACATTTAAGTCACGATAAACCCCCTCTCCTGTGTGTAAGGCTGCATAAATCTGATTCTCTCATGCACTATAGCTACGAAAACACTGTACCACTTCTTTTCCATATTCTATTACAAGTCCACTGCTCCAAACAAATCTCTGGCAACCCAACAGCATTGATGTGCATTGCTTGTTTAGGTTTTGGAAACGTCGACTAGGTCTCACAGCAGCAACATAAGC